ACCCTAACCCTAACCCTAACCCACTAACTTAAGTCTAATTAGTTATAGACCTTTTAGTAAGATTGTAATATAAGTTAAATACAAGAATACTAGAGGCATTCTTAGTTCCTATATACCCGTCTACGTCCTACTTACTCGAGTAGCTACGGCGAGTACTTATCGCTCGACGGCCGTCGAGCGTCGAGTACTCGCTACTCGAAAGCGAGCGAGCGTCGAGTACCCTAAGCTTAGACTCCTCCGGCCTAATTAGCTTATATACTCCTCCTAATAGTGAAATCCCGTAACTTCTCTACCGTATTCGTAATAATAAGCTTTAATCTCGCCTTTAGGCTCTTAGTACGGTAATACCGATATCGTTAAAATTTATTAGGTATACTAGGGAAGTTTAAACCGTAATAGAAGGTACTAATTATCCGATTATACTTATTATATTACGAGCTATACCTATTAGTATTCTAAGGAACTAAAGAGTATAGCCGCGGCTCTACTCGTTCCGCTTCTTAGTATAGCTAAGAGAACTTTACTCTACTAGCTCCTAATTCTATTCGTAGCTTTTTAAGCTATATTCTCGTTATTTAGCTTACTAATAGGTGTAACTAAGATACGTAGATAGTCCTATATCTAATCTAATTAGTAACTATACCTATACTCTACTACTTTCCTAGGTCCCGCCTATAACAAGAGGGTTCTAAATAGGGCGTTATAGTATCCTATTAGAGTATCTAGGTTAGTGTAATTACGCTTACGATTACTATCTAGTATATAGCTTGTTGCTATTTCTACTCGACTCTCTTAGTTTTACGTGGCTAGAGGTAATAGATAGAGTCCTTAGTCGGCGAAAATAACCTACTACCGGCCGTCCGTAAGGCGCCGACAGGAATAGCACAATGCTTGAGGAAACACCTAAGCAAAGACTAATTTCCAATATCCAGACAGCCTACTTCCGATTGATCGCAAGGCGTCAAAAACTGGTTTGGAGACAGCACGGCGATAAAGGAGGGCTATAGAAGGAACGGAGGTGCGGTCTTTGTTAGTAGCCGAGGGCCTTATGGGGACAAAGACAAGCATACTACAAAGCTCAACCAAGACGACTGCTCTCGCTTTTGTTGATGTCGGCTCTAGAAGAAGCGCCCGAGGGTGCATAGTGGGCTATAGCCTCAATACAGAGCATCCACGCTGTCGGGAAGTGCTTACATCACGCAAGGTCCTCCAACGAAACCAACGTCAAGGATAACATATAACCTTAGTCAGAGACTCATCGCTTGATAATTGCTCATGTCACGTCGAACACCTACAACCATACCTCCGGCGAAGTGATATGCCAGGGAAGGACGTCCCACCGTTCTCAACCGTTGCCATTGTATGAAGCGCATTTCTCTTCCTCCCCAGCACAATCACCTTGTTTCGCTTGATCTTCCAAGTATCAGCCTTTAAAAGTCAACAGTCAGCGCCATGGACGCTCTACCAGATGACTTCTTCATGAACAGTCTGGCCTTCACACCGCGGGTTCACCGCGAGCCATACCCTGCCATTGATCCAACCTCGCCGTCCCTGGCATTGGCCGGCAGGGTGGTTATCGTGAGCGGAGTAACAAAAGGCATTGGCCGTAGAGTATGCACCCGCATCCTCCGCTCGATGCCTCCCGAAGCTGCGCTTGGAGATGATGCTGACCTCGAAGCAGGGCATCGTACCAGCATTCGCGAAGGCGCGACCCAAGGCTATGGTTCTCGTCGCTCGGAGTCGAGATGGCGCCACCGCAGTAGCCGACGAGCTCAGCCAGATGTATCCAGACACAGAGTTTGTCGGTATTGCCGCAGACGTTTCCAAAGACGAAGACGTCGCCTCGCTGTTCCAACAGGTCTCGTCCCTTTTCGGACAGGCAGACATCCTGGTGAACAACGCCGGTGTCAACAGCGCCGGCGGTCTGCTTGCTGATGTCGCGACTGCGACTTGGTGGAGTGACTTCGAGACCAACGCCAAAGGCCTCTTCCTGATGTGTCAAACTTTCTTGAAGCACGCCGATCCTACCCAACCCAGCACCATCATCAACCTGTCGACATCTGGAGCACCCGCTGTCTTCCCAGGCATGTCCGCATACACCCTCGCGAAGCTTGTCGGGCTGCAGATGACGGCCTACATCGCAGCAGAGTACGCGAACACCACAGCGGTCGCGTTGCATCCAGGTGTCGTCCGAACAGACATGGTGGTGCCGTCTTTTGTTCGGTTTGCCAAAGACTCTCCTGATCTGGTTGGGAGCACGGCCGTCTACTTGTGCTCGGAGCAGGCGCGATGGTTGTCTGGCTGCTTCGTCAATGCGAATTGGAACATGGAGGATCTTGCGAAGAGAAGGGAAGAAGTATAAGCCAATGGTCTTTTAAAAGTGACGTTGAATGGAGAATTCGGGCTCGAGAAGTTTTCGAAAGTGTAGGAGAAGTGATGCCGTATCGGTGCGAAAGCGACCAGCCGTGTCCGACATGTACCCCCAGGCAGCCGAATTCATCAGTCCCAGGCCATTGGGTGCTGAACCGAGTGACACGGAAAAGTACACAGATTGGGAACGAACTTCGGAGCGCACAACATATAGCAGTAAACGTCGCGGCACCTCAGCTGTTGGTATTAGTTTCGTCTTCCAATGCTCTCTTGTGTTGATGTACTCTGAGTACTTTGCAATGCCTCTTGATCGGACCACCACGACCATCGCAGCACGTCAAGGTCACTCGTCGCTACAACAGGCGCGAGTGCTTCGCAACTTGACCTCTGATGAGGGCAAGTAATACAACACCTTCGCGCAAAGGGGTGTTGCCACGAAACGCTGAGGACCGAGAAGACGAGACGGCGGCTGCGCGCGCGACGTCAAGCATGCCCACTACGCAGCGCAGAATGCGGAGCCTCCTCATGCCTCCGCCATTCGATGACCTTTAGCTGGTGACTCGTGGTGAAACTGCAGCCGCAAATCCGCAGGTGCGATGGAATACAACCAGAAGACGTACGGGCCTAGGAAGGGAGAGGACGGAAACCATCCGGGCAAGATGGCCTCTGCGCTGATGCCGGCGGTATTATCTCCCTCGAACGAAGGGCGTAGCGACTGGATGGACGAGAAGTCCCAGCGTGCCATTGGAGTGTGCAATGAGGTGATAAAACAATTGCAGCGCGGAGATGTCCATGAACATTCGAGACAAACTCAGAGCGGGCCCCGCGTCCAGATTCCGCCTTCTTCGGCCGTCGAAGACAGCAAAGAGATGAGATGTCCATCAAGCGCCCTTTCCCGCTGTGGCCGCAGTGCAAGCACGCATTGCCGGCGTCAACATGGCGGAGGAACTGGCCGATTCTCCAGGTCTCACAGGTGCAGCTTGAGAATTGTGGAAGGCCAAGACTGCCGAGGAAAATCTGCTGCTAAGGCCGTCCGCTTCTCGGGCAAGAGACACGGCCTGGTTCGAGATATCATATCACCAGGAACCACTGCTTCTCCAGCACAGTCGCAGGATGGATGATGATGAGGTGGTGAAGAAGGGACGGAAGGTTAAACGGCGGACCGTTGAGGAAGGGGGCGGTTTCCCGGAAATGCCAACGCTCAAGACCAAGACCCACTATTGCCAATGGCGCCGGGCAAGCGTTGGTGGTCACGACTTGGCGGCGGATTCCTTCTAGCAGAGGCCTAGGGAGAGTAGTTGAAGGTAGACGATCTGCTGTTGCGCAGATGCGTGCAGTCTTCCTCTTCCCAGCAATGCCCGACTCTCGAGTCGCCCGCAGTGTGGTCATATGCCCGCCCTCTCCTTCCACCACCGCCTCCGTCGGCTTGTGCGACCTGTCCTCGTTAGCGCCGCAGTCCTGCTGACGCTGCTGCTTTGTCTCCGCTTTGTCGCCGTGCCCCTTCTCGTCCTCTTGCATCCCCCTCTTGATCTCTGGTTCTACGACCACAGCGTCTACGGCTTGTACCCGCAGCAGTACTACCACTCCTTTCACATCGCATCGCCGGCGGCGCGGAGGCCGAGGTGGAATCATGTCTGCGCTGAGGAGAGTCGAAATGGCCTCGTCCTGCTCGACCTGCACGGCAGTCAAGTGAAAGACAGTGGCCCTGTTGTTCTCGATCTTGCAGGCAACTTGATATGGACAAATGCATCGTTTGGTGGAGAAAATCCGCATGCCATGAATGCGAAGGTGCAGGAATACAAGGAGGAGCAGTACCTGACTTTCTGGGCCGGCGATGACTACGACCACGGCCACTGCTACATGCTTGACAACGAGTTCAACCTTGCGTACAATGTGTCCGCGGTTGGGGACAGATTATGGGCAGATCCGCATGAGTGCAAAATCACCTCCGACAACACCGCCCTCCTCATCGCATACAACCACACCAGCGCCGACACGAGCAACACCAATGTGGCAGATCTGGGACCATACATCGTCGATGCGATCATTCAGGAGGTGGATGTCGAGAGCGGTGAGCTACTGTTTCAATGGCGGGCGTCGGATCACTTTGCGGACGACAACGAGTACTTGAAGACGAGCTACGACGCTCCTTTCGCGCGGCACAGCAAGAAATACCGTGACTATTTCCATATGAACAGCGTTGATAAGCTTGCGAATGGGGATCTCCTCGTCTCCATCAGGCACACGCACTCGTTCATGCGCATCGAAAAGGATACCGGGGATATTTTGTGGGCTTTTGGGGGCACATCTACCGACTTCAAGGACTTGTCCAACGGAGAGGCGGACTTCAAGTGGCAGCACGATGCGCGCTGGATAGACGAAGGACGCGGACTGCTCGGACTGTTCGACAATGCGCTCTCAGAGAACAGCTGGTACGATGCACCATACAGCCTGGGCAAGATCATCCATTTGGACACTGAGAACCGCACCGCGGAGCTTGTACATTCCTACCACTCCCTCGAGAAAGCAAAGTCAACTTCTCAAGGCTCATTTCAATTCATCCCATCCCGCGGGAGCGAGGAGCAAGACCAAGTCTTCATCGGCTGGGGCTCGGTACCGGCCTTCACCATCCACGACGCCAAAACCGAAGAGCTACTGTGCGAGACGCATTACGCTCCATCGCTGTTCCAGTACTACGAGTTTGCGAAATCCTACCGCACCGTGCGTGCGCCGCGGGAATGGACTGCCACGCCTGCAGCATGGGACCCGAACGCGGTCGCTGAGGGCGGCAGAGTATATGTATCATGGAACGGTGGAATGACAGTGCGTTGGTGGGTCTTACAGAGAATACACAGGCATGCCCGCGGAGATGAGCTTCGAGACGAAGATTGGGAGGATGTGGAGACGGTGGAAAGAGACGGCTTCGAGACAGCTTTCGAGCTGGCGGCTGGTGGCAATACCCTGTACAGAATTGCGGCCCTCGACGCATCCAAGAACACCATTCGCTTCTCCAACACATTTTGGAACCCAGGTTCGTGGTTTCGGATACCATCATGGGTGTCCTTCTCGCTCGGAGTGGGCGTTGTGCTGCTTATGTTTGCTGGCGCGATGCGTTGGCGGCAAGTCATGTTTTGGATCAAAGGTAGAAGACGGGGGATAGGACTGTACACCCAAATACCGAACGAAGAGGCCTGGGAAAATCACGACCAGGATGATGCGGCATCTTTGGCGACCCTTGGACGCAGGTAGTTCCCTCGGCGGTGTCTGGCACCTGGTACAGACATTGGCATATTGTACATATGAGCATGTAGTTAAATTGTACAGAGTCACCCGAGATCATACCAGTGATCCTGTGCTTGGTGGGCAGTTTCAAGGTCTGTGATGGGCCAAATTTTCGGCAATTATGCTATGATTCACGCTAATGGACTGATAAATGCTAAAAAGCACAATGCAGATATCACACATCTTCCGGACGGTTGCTCTCTCGCACGTACCGCCGTCTTCTCCGATTTGACTCGCCAGTCGTGGGAACCGGCTTCTCCAGCATCAAGATCCTGAGCACCAGGCGCTCCAGCGGCATCAGCAAAAGCCAGACACGGTTGCCTATTTGGAAGACAGAGGTCAGCGTTTTCTTTTTGGAGGCGGGAGGGAAGGGATTACCGAGGAAGCAGACCAAGACCGAGAACGTCGCAGCAACGGCATCCTGAAAAATTGTCAGCATTTGCGCATGCATTGGCAGTTGCGAGGTACCATACCAGGTAGTAGTGGTTGGCAGTGGCAACAATGACAAGCAGAACCAGCATTGGGTAGAGCACACCGGCCACCGTGAATCCAGCCATGCCGAACAAGCTTCTTCGCTCCCTCGAGTTGCTCCGCTGCAGAACCCGTTGCACGAGCCCAGAGTGGTACAGGAACGTGCAGCCAACCGTCAAGGCGTAGGTGAAGTGCAGACTAGGCATTGCGGCGAGCTGGTTGACGCTCTTGCCATCTCCAACCCAAACACTCTCGGCGTGTGCCTGGTGCACGGTGTCGACGAATCCGAAAGACTTTGGCAGCAAGCGAGGTGGCATACACGGGAAGATTGCAAACACAGCAAACGCAGCCTGCGGCAAATTAGCATTGCATCAAGCGTAAGAAGCACCCCCTCGATGTGGAGCAACGTACAAAGTTGGCGCAATTCATGCAGCGTCGGACGACCGCGAAAGTGCTGTGGTTGGGCGCCGAGTAGTAGTACCAGGAGATGAATCTGGCTCTTGGGTCAGCGAAAGAACACGAGCGATTGACCAAAGTCCCAAGGCATACAACACCGTGCCGGGAATGTGAATGAGAGAGTAGATCTGGTTCAGGACCGTCATGACGCCCGGGTGGTTCGCCAGAATGAAGTGCTGAACATCAACCTCCTTGATAAAGAAGAAGGCCTTGGCGGGAGATTCGTGCTCGAACTTGAGGATGCTAATGCCATGACTCTGAGCAAGCTCTACGACAGCTTTGCCTGCCTTGCGCGAGTGGAACGCGGCGGCTGCGACCTTCGAGAATCGGTAGGCCGCGTAGTTGAGGATCCAGTAGAATAGTTCGACCAGGAATGGAAACTTGGCCAAAATCCGGTTGAACACGGCAATTGCGTATGGTGCTCTCGACGGCCATTGCTTTGCGCCAGGCGAAGGGCTGCGCCGTCCCAGAAGCTGCAGAGAGTCGTCACTGTCGGAGGCGTACTCGTCCTTGTCCTGGAGCAGGCCGTCCTCGCTCCTGCGCGGACTGCTCTCGGGAGTGGCTGTGAAAACGCTGCAGTCTCTGCGCCGTGTGATGATGAGAGTCGCCACCATCGTGGTCAAGACCATCAGAGGCTCCAGCCATGCCAGAGCGTCGAACTGTCCGGTGGCATTGTTGCTCATGCTCAGCGCCTGATCGTGTGCCTCGACGCCAACGGTCGCCATGGCCGGGAAAAATGAAGGGTATTACAAGGGCGAGTGGTACAAGTATAACAAGTCGAAAGAGTGACGATGAAGGTAGAAGCGCGAGGCGTGTATGGAGAAAGGAAGGTGAAAGAGCGTGGGCACGCGAGCTGAATTCTGCTGCCTGCGGTCGGAGGTGTGAGATGAGGCTGTACAGCAGCACGCGCACGGTTAGGGGCTTTTTGATTACGGCCCAGCGCGGCGAATTGCAAAGGAGGGCGCAACCCTGCGACCGGAACGATCCGAAAGCTTCCCGTGCTTATTTCGGGCGGTGGCTGTGGTTGTTGCTCACGCGAGACTTGCCCCACCTGCCCCGCACGTTGGCAACGGCCGAGCGTCTTTCCTTCTGGAAGGTCCATCCAAGGTCACACTCACTTCGATCTACTGACAATCTACGGAGTACCTCCTACGTCTCTTCAGCACCCGGCGTGGCATCACTTATGCATGGTGCACGAACCAACAACGAAGCGGACAAGTATTGGATGTCACGAGACTGATCGAGCTCAAAAACTCCTGCTTTGATGGACCGATCTATTGCTCCCCGTCTATTGAAGAATAGGACTCCTTCGCCACACCCCGATGATGATTGAAAGTACCTCATGTCTGGAAGCAGGCTCCATGTTTAGGAATGAGCGCCCATCAACAGGTCGTGCAGAACTCGTCGGGGTGAAGGAAGCACATCGCCAAACAGCTAAAGCACGCCATTGTTCCTCTGCCCGACATCCCTTCGCCGCTCGGATCGCCCATACAGCATGCCCAGTCGCAGCGGTGGACCTCGTCGTCTCTGGTGCTAATGGGTGCTGACTTCAAGCTGGCTTCTTTCGCGGGAGCTGGAGTCATTACAGTTTGGGAAATGCTTATGGTCTTCGTGGCCGAGCAAGACGTACCTGCGGCGACAAGTCCAACGACGAAAGCCATGAGGGTGAGCCCGCTGAGCTTCATGGCGTGGACTAATTCAGATATGATGGGGCCTGCACTGGATTGCTCGGGTATCCGTAGCTAGGCTGGTGTCGAAATAAGTAGGTGCTTCTGGAGGGGTCGCACAGCTGAGGCAGACAGCTTGTTGATGGTGCCTGTGGTGGTTGTAGGTAGGTCTGACGTCTCCTCTGGTGGGAATACTTACGATCATATATGTACCGTGGAGTCCAGTGAGACGGACGTTATCATGGCCGCTATCCGTATTGTTTCATGCGTGACAGCCGAGCGATCTTCCTGAGCACCACCAGCTGGATCATGCCATACCATTGAGGAATCGGTGATGCCGTACGATATCTTCTTGCTGTTGTAGCGCAAGAGTTGCGGTCAATGTTCGTCAGGCACGGCCACCATAGAAGGTCAGGCCACGCCCACAGTAGTGCTCGTCCTGCACCACACGGCGGCTTCAGCCTTCAGCTGTCATCGGAGGTCCCGTCTGATCACACCTCCGAATTACCAAAAGCCTGCACCACGACGTGGGCATTGGGCGGTCAAGGACGTTAGTCTATAGCTCGAAAACAGTTGTATGGCGTGGCCGATAAGAAGCGCGAGAAGGAAGAAGACCGGGCCAAGACGAGATTCGCCAAGCACCTGACATAGCTCTGGCATACCGTCACTGCGTCGCATGCGCTCTGCCTTATCAGCGTAGCCAGCATCATTTCATCCATCATCCTCTGCCATACTGGGTAGATATCATTCCTCTCAAACATGGTAGAACGGCTTCTCTGGAGCAAAGCCAACCAGCCTGTCACCCTCGCTCGGCCTAAACTTCTCCTCCTTGTAAAAGAGATGCGCCTCCTTGCTCATCTCTTCAACCTCCTTGAATTCGAAGCGGTCGAACTTGAACTTCGTGCTGCCATAGACGCCTTGGGCATACTCCGGAGCGATATTGTAGATCTGGGCAAGGTACTTCTTCGCAATGATCGGGTAGTTGACCTTTGAGAGCATCTTGCCCGTATTGCTGTGGAGGTTCTGGCGGGCCTGGTCGTTCATGACACGCTTGTAGCTGCATGCAGGTGAGTACGTATTGAATAGAATGGAGTCCACAGTGGCTTACAGCTCTCGAGCCTGCGTGTACTCGCTGATCTTGCCTTCGTGGTAATAGTGGCTCTTCCGCGAGACAACGTTATCGGAGACTTTATATGGCGCCTCCGCGACATCCGGGCGGAACTTGTAGGTGAAGCTGTTTGGCACAATCTGCTTGTTGCCGGCATGGTTGGCTATGCAAAGATGGTAAAGTCAGTGAAAATTCAGTAGATGCTCCCGCTGGCGGTGGAAACGTACCATCAACACGCATTGGTCCATCGAAATTGATTGAAGAGTACGATCTGCGGGTTTGTCAGTAGACGACCAACGGTGGGCGGACTGACAGCGCATACTGCGACATGAAAGGGCAGTTGACGGGCACCTGATGGAGATTGACACCAATCCGGTGGTACTGAGCATCGCGGTAGAAGAACATGCGAAACTGCAACAGTGGGTCTGGCGAGTCTTCAATGCCCGGTGGCATCGATCCAGGACTGAACGCAGCCTGTTCAACATCTCGATGGAAGTTCTCAGGATTCTTGTTCAACACAAGGCGGCCGAACTCATGCATCTGTGTGGTGTTTCAGCACCTCTCTCCGCACTCGAGGGGTAGGGTTCGCACTCACAGGGAACTGTCCTCGCGGCCAGACCTTGGTCACATCGAAGGGATCAAACCCGAGCTTCTCAGGATCTGCCTCGTCTGGCTGCATGATCTGTACCTTTGCAGTCCACTCGATCTCTTCTCCGCGCTCAATGGCCTCCCACAGCTGACGCTTGGAGTAATCTGGGTCCTCTCCCGAGGTGCGGATGGCCTCTGGCTCGGTCAACTGCTTCTGGCCGTGCTATTGGCATATGAGACCTCGTCAGCGGATGATTGAGCCAAAACCAATGCAACGTGGGAATACACAAGTAGGTCGTTCTCGGCGGAGAACGAGCCTTTCCTCCCAAGCTACTTACCTTCGCAAGGAAATGATACTTAATGTACACGAACTGGCCCTCCTTGTTCACCCACTTGAACGTGTGGCAGCCGTAGCCGTGCTCATTGATCCAGCCGTCAGGGGTTCCGTGGTCGCTGAAAAACATCAATCCTTGATCTGGTCAGCGTAGGTACGTACAGGGCATGGATCTGGCTCAAATTACCGGCATGGTTCCCCTCAGGTACGCATCCTAGAAGATCAAAAGTTGCGTCGTAGTCCAGTAGGAAGTTCTTCGGGTTGCGGGCCTGCGAGCGGATAACGTCTGGTCCTTGAATGGGATCACGGCAGAAGAAGATCGGGAAGTTCAGGCCGACGATGTCATAGTTGCCCTCCTTCGTATAGAACTTGATCGCGAAACCTCGGGGATTCCGTGCTTCGTCTGGAAACTCACGTCCAAGAGTCACAGTGGAGAAGCGGATGAAGATTGGTGTTCTTCCTCCTACTTCCTGCAGGAAGTTGGCCTTCGTGAACTGCGAAACATCTTTGGTCTGTTCGAAGTAGCCGAAAGCTCCCGAGCCGCATGGGTGGACCATTCGTTCCAGGTTTTTGGAGCGATTGAAGTGCTGTTGCTTCTGGAGAAGATGGACATCGCTGACAAGCGGAATGCCACCTATCTATTAGAGCGCACATCCAATCAGCGGTCATGAAAGGAATAACCAAGCACGGTATACCGACATTCTTGCTGTGCTCCGCATCGGGTAGTGGGATGCCTTCGTTGTTGGTGAAGTAGGGTCCGTCGTCTTCCCGCTTGCCACCTTGGACGGCGCCAGAAACCTGAACAATGTCAATATCTCACCCCAGCATGGTGGGATGGCGCTTGCCACCTTGGCTATGATGTCCATGGGACCTTCATTGGCACTCATCATGTGGGACATGCGCGGTCCGCGCTCCTCGCCGTTCGGTCGTGTGGCCATACTGTCCATTCGGCTGGCAGCGAGATTCGTCTATTGAACTAAGGCGAGGGAAGACAAAGAAGATTCGAGCAGACAGAAGAAGGAAACAGCGGGAAGTGAACGTTTTCCAACGGCTTGACCTACTGATGCATCTCTGCCATCTACTTACCGTCCCAGAAGTGATAGCGCGGACTGAGGATGTGGATCCAGATGGCTACGTCGTCCACACACAGAGCTCATTCCGTCGGAACAGCATTGTCGCCTGCATCAAGCATCTCCAACCCAGAAAGAGAAGCTTGCCATTGGACCGGTCTGTCTGCTTGTGGACAAGACGAGATCTAAGATGATGCGAACCTCACGCGTTTCGACGTCGCGTGGAAGACAGCATTGAAGCTGCGCGCTTGACACGGGCAATCGTGAGCATGATGACTCTTCCATCGCGATGGTAGCGTCGTGTTAGCATCACTGTGTTGCTCGTGGTGTCGCCGTTCGCAATGCGGGAGTCGTAGGAAGGCGGAGTCGAGCTTCTCAGGATCGAAGAGAGCCTAGCAAAACCATCGAATAAGGTAGCGTCGGGAGAGAAGTTGTTTGTGTGGGCAGGAGAAGAGGGAGTCCCAGTGGAGCGGAGTCGGTGTTGAGCAAGCCGTTGGATACGGCGAGATCTGCTTTGGGTTAGACCGGCACGTGATCTGGAAATGCAACCCACCCTCGTTGCCCTTCGCCAGACTTCTGCCTATTGCACACCAACATTTGCATACCTTCCATCGATACGGCTGATCGCGTACCCTCTATGCACGTAGCTTGCTACTTGCAATATGACCTCAACGGGCCTACCTCCCGCGCCCCGGAGCCCGTTGCCGCAGTTGCCAGCGCGAAGGAGGCCAACCAATCTGAACCAGCAGCTGGGAATACAGTACCGCCTTGACGACATCTCATTCGGCCTCATGCAGACACTTTGGATCTCAGATCAACGCCATGGGCTACCTGGAATGGACGCCTTAGGCCCGACCCAGCTCTGGTTCATTAAGCACATCTACAAAGCTGCCACGCCAATAGTCCGCACATGTATCAAACGTCCGTACCAGGCGAGATACCACTCAGGCGATTTCATCCACCCTTCATAGCACATGGTATACAACACCGAGGCCCCCTACGACGGCAGCATTTTCTCTTGAAATGCACCACCGCCTTCCTAAATGCTATTCCTACCCGCAGATCTCCGCCCCTCAGCGCTCACGGTCTGCTGAAGTGGAATGTACCTATGGTACTACCTTGAAACACCTGATCCACATTTGTCATCGAGCCTTGGTAGAAGTTTCCCGCGGGCTGGTGCTCTCTCTGGGCCAGGAGAAGCTGAGGCTGCTCTTGCGAGTTGGTCGACTGACCGAAGACTGGAGTTGCGGAGACTGACGGCACGATCACTCGCAGGTCCCGATTCCAGATCCACAACTCGTTGGAAACCCGCTCGTAGCCCACTGCTTGGGCGTCCGAGAACTTGGTCATGCCCGAATGGCCGGCTGGTACGGAGAAGGGGCTGTACGCTGGCAAAATGGCTGAATGCTTGGGAACGACCTGCAAACGTCAGTTCACCAGACTCATTCCATGACAGGCGACTTCCGTCACTCGGAACTTACTGCGCCAACGCCCGGTGTGTCGAGGTCTTCGAAGAAGCAGGTAATCCTGATCTTGTGCTTTCCCGCGTCGTTGCGAGCCCTGAGCATCGTATGGAAATCTTGCTGAACTCGAGCTAGGACTTCGGACTCGGGTTGGAGGACGGTGATGAGCGACTCATTCAGCCTCTTCACCAGCTTGACTACCGACGTACACACTTTTGCCCAGTCGGCGATCTGCGACCCGCAGTGCGGTGTTCCCATGAAGCAGATGCCTCTGGTAGACTCCAGAACAAGTCTGTGATGCTCTTCGGCGCTGTTTTTCGCACCGAGAAGCATCTGCGTCCAGTCAGCACTGTCAGTCGAAAGGCTTCACGCACGGCCTAAACTTACGTCTTCCACCACGAGTCCCCCAAGCGAATGCGTCACGAAAAACAGCGGTCGGGAGCCCTGTTGCGCATTGAGATAAGTACCATGCAAACTCATGATTGACTTTTTTTACGCAGGGCTACTTACTGTCTCAGTCCTCTCTCTCACTTGTGACAGGCTCCCGAGGAGCGTCTGCGCGTGATTCCCGATACGGCTTTGCGAGACTGCCGAGAAGAAGTGTGCCACGTCTGCGTCGTAACCATAGGTGAAGATTCTCGCGCCAGGAAGATCGGACGGCAGCAGATCTCCTGGCCAAAAACAAGAATTGGAACGGTGAGTCCAGGTACTCTCGCGGTCGCCGGTAAGGCCGTGGACGAAGACGACGCTTTCATAAGGTCAGCTTTTTCCCCGCCCCAGTTGGGCTTTGCTGTACGTGTTTCACTTACTCTGTAACGCTTGCGGTGTCTTTTGGCTCAGCGCACCTGCGGAGTCCCAGTGCTGGATTCGCAGTTTTGACCGCTTGGAGTCGTCACAGTCTGTGGAGGCGTAACAGCTTTGACGTGCGATCGTTTCTTGAACAGGCGTCTCGACTCCGTTGCGTCTCAAGAGAATGGCAACTCACTGTCTGTTTGTGTTCGATTGCCAAATGGAGTACTCACAAGGCCCGAAATAACGGAAAGCAATGCAACACCCACTCCGGAGCTATCTGTTTCCTGCCTCAAGGATGGCGTTTCGAGCCTTGTCTGGGCAGTCATGCACTTCGACACTTCCGTCTTGTCGAGCCTCGTAAGATCGGCCGGCCTCAGCCGTGGGTGATGTTCCCATGGACGCGCCATCCGAGAAAGAAGAGAAGGAAGGCACCCATGTGCCCGAGGCTATGTTCAACCAGCTTCAAGAGGTTGCTGTAGATCAACCTGGACGACATGATTGGCCATCCCATTCGTCTCGAGTGTCTAAACCCTGCGAGGTTGGCAAGGCTCGCAAGGCTACGTCGTCTGTGCCGCATTTGTATTGATACGCATTGCTCGCTTGGGTACGCCTCCAATATTGGGGAGCATGGTCTTGCGTCACTCAACAAACTGTAGCCTTTGAAGAGGCGGATGGATGAAGCATTGTTGGCTGGAAACGGAATCGAACTCGCCAGATACGGTTAAAGCTCAGAGTGCCCTCCTGACAACGCAGCCTTGGACTCGACTGGTGAACGCTTAAGACTGGAGGCGCTGCTTGACGCATGTCAGCTCCTGCGTGCACAGTCCTATGAGCTGACCTGACTTGGACGGTACCTGATGCAACTTGCGCATCGCACGCTACGACGAAACACGAACTTCAGACATGTCGAGCACGTTCACGGGCGCGCTTAAAAACGTCAACGCCGCCTTTCAAAACAGCTCCATCAACACTTTCAATTACCGTGAGTCCCATGATCGTCTTCAACCGACGACGCTGACTCCTCTCCGAAGTCACAAGCGACCAAAGGACTGCCAGACTGCAAGAGTGCATTGCTGCTCTTCGTCAAAGCAAGGCTGAAGATGATCGGAACGAGTTGAGGGATAGACACGAGGTATCTGAAAGCACATGCCAGTGGGTGCTACAAGACGATGTCTTCCAGTCATAGCAAGGTAATAATGGCACTAAGCAACCGCTCATATGGGTCGGCGATCGACAAGGAGTTGGCAAGACTACGCTTGCTTTATTCATCAGCCAGCATCTAGAAGACAGCCTTCCGGAGCCCGATGACAACTAGGTGCTGTACTACTTCTGCGACTCTCAGAGGGGCCGCAACACCGCCTATTCCATTCTCAAAGAGCTCATCTGCCAGCTTTATGAGAAGCACAGCGCGACGGGGCCTCCACTCCTGGAGGAATTCGAACATCGACCTCACATGCTGCTGAAGCCGCCATCCATTAAGGCACTCTGGAGGGTTTGGCGCGGCATGGTGAATCTCAGTCCCGTGAGGAGACTCTTCTGCATCATTGACGGAGTGGATCGGTGCGATGAGAGGAGTCTTGCTCCTTTTCTTCGAAAGCTCGATGGCATGTTCGTCCGACAGAACGAACGACAAGCCTCGCACAACGTTGACCACAAAAAGGATCCACTTCAAATTCCATCATCTGAGCGGACTGCCCGGTTTGCAAAGTCTACCCCGAGCCCCAGGTTGCGCATGATCATACTGAGCCGCGACAATTCGAGCTTCGTAATCAACACGCTTCTTGCTTATCCACGACTAGAACTGAAAGGGCACGGCACACAAGGTGGAGCACCAAACGATCTAAAGTGTCACATCGACAGCAAGGTAGACCATACCACAAAGAGCTTCTCGGAAACTAAAGCTCTGAGCAAGGAGAATACTGCTGCCATAGTGGAAACACTCAGTCATGGCCAGGACCAGACATACGAATGGGTCAAATTCGCGGCTGAGAAGCTGATGAGCATAGCACCTGGTCAGTTGAGGGAAGTCGCTGCCAAAATGCCCGTCAGTGTCGATGACATGTACGCGGAGGAACTGCTTGACGTTCCATCTCGTCGGAAAGCTCACGTCTGCGCCATCCTGAAATGGGTCGCTCTGGCTGCAAAGCCTCTCTCGCCGCTTGATTTTTCCAAGGCCGTCAAATACTCGCTCGGCAAGTCCTTTTCTGTCAGGATGCTCAGAAAAGCGCTGCACGACGTTCCGCGTTTGATCGAAGGCAACGACAGAGAGGTGCACCTGGCGAGCTCGGCAGTGCAGGACTTCCTGCTCTCAGAGCAGAGTATTTTGCGCCTGAACAAAAGACTGCGAGAGTTTGCGTTTAATTGCAGCGACGCCCAACCTGACCTCGCGAATACATGCATGCGTACCTTGAAAAGAGCAGGAACTTGAGCAAGAGCAGGCGGGTACGACTGAAGCCTACCGACATCCTCAAGCCAGTGGATGAGGCATTCTTCGCAAAACATCCTTTCCTGGAGTATGCCATGGTCCACTGGACGACACATGCGAAGCAGGGTAACGCCAGGAAGACCGACTACAAGACCGACTTCTTCCGCGATGACTCGCTGAGGCGCAAGCTGTGGTGGGAAAGCTACTGGATATCACTGCGACAGAAGTTTGCTTGGAAATGGACCGCTCCAGGCCACTTCTCTCTCCTGCACCTTGCTGCAATCTTCGATATCGTTCCGCTTGCTGCGTACGTCCAAGACCAGGGATTTATCCAGGAGCTGCTCAGTGCTGAAGACGATCAGGGTGTGAATCCTCTCAACTGGGCGGCGCAAAGGTCGAATGCCGCCATGGTAAAGTTCCTGTTTCAACGCGGCGCATTCGACGACCGAGCTCCACGCGAAGTGGCGCGGACTGGAGATGCTTCCATCATCAAGATGCTTCTCGATAACAGGAAGAGAAACTTGAACAGCCCGAAGTCGGCAAGTCCAAAGTCACCTTCGAATCCGCTCTGGTCGATCAAGAATCCCACGCTCAGTTGCATCTCCGACTGGTCCAAGAGTTCCGGAGGTGATAACTCAGCGCCCATGTCGCCAGATGCTCAAGGGTACGGGAAGACGACATCAGAAACCCCGCTGCACATTGCAGCGACCTGCGGAAATGAAGAAGCCGTCGATGCTTTGCTTGCCGCCAGTGAGCTCTGTAACACGCCTACAGAAGGCGGCTGGACCTGTCTGCACAACGCTGCATGGTTCGGCAGGGTGACAATAGTGAGACGCCTCGTCGATGCCGGAGCTGACTCCAGGCTGGGGACGAACGAAGGCATGACGCCACTACACTGCGCCGTCAAGAATAAGCAAGAGGCTGTCGTCGAAGACATGTTCAACTCTGGCGCCGCCGATGTAGAAGTGGTTAATGGTTTCGGCTTCACTCCATTTCACATGCCTGCAAAGCCAATGACACGGCCATGATGGACATCCTGCTCGATCACGGCGCGAGCGTCGAAAGGAGAATGCGACAAGGCTGGACACCATTGCTCTGAGCTTGCATCAACGGACAGATGCACACCGTTCAGCACTTGCTCCGGAAAGGCGCAGATGTCAGTGCTAAGTGGGCGCAGGCGGGTGCAGAAAGAGCAGTAGAGCTCGGCGCGATTGGCCTGGCCAGAGCGTACAAGCAAGACCAGATAGCACAGGTCATGGAGAGGTTCGGGGCCAACGACCTCAGTTGCTTGCCTCAAGAGCAAGTGCAGGCTCTCCCGGCGGCAAGGTCGGCTGATGAAGAGTATAGCGTACCTAAAGTGGAGGAGATCACTGTCATACCTCTCGGAGACACGGATCGGAATGATGACTCCGAGAAGGATGGGGATGGTCAGGATGGCAGTGACGATAAGGATGACAGTGGCAGCGAGATGGACCAGGACGAGAGCCGCTCACGACAGAAATCCACCACCAGTGTCCCCAGTATCAAGGAGGGGCAACTGAGCAACGGCGCATTGCGTGGACTGGGCATCCACGAGAGCATGGATGAGACGCCAACGGATGGACCAATCGCCAGTCCACAACTCAGTGCGATCGCAGCCACAGCAGACTTCGCCAGCCCCGACGGCAGCCTTCGTAATAGCACAATCGCAGGCGCTTGGCTTGGTAACCATGCCACTGTGCGGACCAGTGCGCAAGCTGACATTTCGACTGTGGACCCAGTCATGGGCACAGAGCCCGCCGTCGAGAGTAGTGCACTGGATATCCAACACAACATGGTAGAGAAGCCTCCTCTCGACATGGACTCAACTGGCCGGACTGATGTCAAGATTGTTGACACCACAGAGCACCCTGCCATCGACGTTGGCAGCGTCCAGCCAACGCAACACCGTTCAAACCTCGGCCACCTGGAGCACACCGCAGACTCGTCTGGCTCAAGCGACCTTGAGACGATGGACGTCGCAGCGCAGCCAAACAGCCAGGACACCGTCTACGCAGCAAAAGACCAGCCGACTTCATCCACATCAGACCTTGGGAGTTTGAAAGAGACTGCAGGCTCCAGCGGGAAACAGTGCCCGTCTGATGCTGTGCAATCACCGCAAAAACAGTCAACAGACTCCACCGAGCGACGTTCTAGCAGCATCTCCCAAATGCTCAGTGGTCGATTCGGCCGCTTCGTCACACCCACCCCGCGGACCAACAGCGCAACGAGCAAAGACCCAGTCGACTCGACGGAGAGAGGCGGTCCCGCACCCGATCACAAAGCGGATCAGTTCACACGCTTCAAGCGTGTCCTCAGCTGGAAGAGTGACGGTATCGCTGAGAATAAGATGACAACTTCGCCGCCCATTGCAGAAGTCGATGACCCTTTGGACTCGCAGATGGGAGTGGCCCCTTATACTGCGGTGGATACGACTGTGAACACTGGTACGGATGGCGTTGCAAGCCCTGACAGCCAGACATCGTTGCCCAGCAGTCCAGCACCAGACCGTACTCCCAAGCTTGGCTTGTTTGGAATGAAACGGGGCTTTGCTCGGAAGCCTTCGCAGGGAGAGAAAGCAGGGTAGGAAGTCACGGCGACCGCAACTCCTGTGGTCGGCTGCAATCTTCCGCTTTGCCAATCTCGTGCTGAACTCATGTCATGATCGCCTGATTACAACAGCTCAAGACAACACATCATTGGCGCCAAGTGCGCGGCTGTTCATATATCACACCACCACCAGCTCGGAAGCGGGCCTTAGATGATGAGACCGACCATGTTTCCAGATTATGTAGTTCATCTTTGGTACTCTTTCACATTACTTCCAGCATAAGCCACTCCATCGCAGCCAGCACCATCCCGAACCATGACACTTCCAACCTCAAACCCCCACCATCCAGCATCGACTCCCATCGTGACACCGACAACTCACCCTCATCTCCTCATCCGCTCAGGCTTCGGCAAGATCTGCGCCTTCGAGAACGGCAACCCACAACTCCCCCTCGGCTGCCTCCCAGGCTACGACTGCACACATGATGGCGCGGCGAGCGTGAGCGGGTGCTGTGCGACTGCTGCAGCAGCTGGGAAGTGCATGCTAGAGACCACGTGTGTCGACTACCGCGACACGTTGGGTCCAGGCCTGCCGAGGGCGCATACTTGGTATATCTCCGTCTGAACGCTTGCACTGGTGAGAGAACTGACGCCAGCAGTGATGAAGCAGAGCCGTACTGCACGACTGCGTACTTTGTGGACGGGTACGCCATGTTCACTTGTGGAGCTGGAGAGGGGCGGGCACAGGTCTCTGCGTTCTACCACATGTCGTCGTCCAGCATCGGTAGGCAGCAACAGCCGTATGCATCGTCGGGGGTAGCATCTGAACAACCTGACGCCGTAGATAGTGACGGCGGAAGTACCAGCAAGAGCAGCTCGTCGGCACCCATCGGTGCGATCGTGGGAGGCGTGGTTGGCGGCGCTGCCGTCCTGCTCATCACCATATCTCTGGTGTGGTTCGTGTTGCAAAAGAGAAGGAAGGACAGATCGGCGACTGCAGCGAGATCTGGTTCAAGTGGCTCACCCAACTCCCTGGACACTGCGGATCAAGTTCAACATGTCGTGTACGAAAAGCAAGGCCTCGGATATTCGGAAATGGCAGCGCGACCAGCTGAGATGTTTGATGGAAGAGCCAGGTATGCCCACGAAGCGCCGCTGGTGCCAGCAGATCCCACGTCGGTCGGTCGAAGCGAGTTGCCTGCGGAGAGAGATAGTAGATACGAGCTGATATAGTAGACTCGCATACTGCCTCTACACGGAGTTGGACTTCTCCTTTCTCTTGCGTGAGCAAAAACGCGGTTTCATGGGTCTCATGTGACGGAAGTGCCGTTACTCGTATCGTTCATGCATTTGGTGGAATGTGTAGAAGCATGCGCTGCCACTTCAGCTGATCTCGTCAACTGCATCGAGCGCAGCATCTCCGCTTGAGACCTTGCTGGGCTGGTCTGGCAGCGCATCCGCCACTGGCACATCGCCCTGCTCCACCGCCTGGTCCGGCACTTGCACCGGTTGAGGCTGCTCCAGATCTGGCATTTCCACCTCATCCATCTCCTTCCTGTTGCCCTTCTTCTGCTGCTCCTTCGCAGATATAGCAGCATCACCGGTCTCCTCAGCTTCCACCACCTTCGGCTCAAGCTCATTGAGCTCCTCCCATTGCTTCGTTCTCGCCTGCAACCTCTTCCCTCGCTTCTTGCTATCCGCGACCTTCTTCTCCAGCTTGTCGATGTTCCGCTCGGCATGCTCGAGACCCTTTTGCTGTCTTTGCTTTTGCTGGCGGGTAAGCTGCTTGGTCTTCTTCTTCTTGCTGATACCGGAATTCTGGGCGTTGTGTAGCCATGGCGTGTACTCGGTTGCTTTCTCCTTGGACTTGACGGCAGGTCCTTCGGTGGGTGGCGGTGCGTTGCCGCGGCGGGCGGCGCGGGAACGTACAGAGACTTCTATGCTGCTATTAGATATATTCTTCGTCGAGACATGGAGTGACGTACCCCTCTTCTTGACCTTTGGAGTCTTCATCGTGTCGTGATTGTCTTGTTCAATTGTGATAGATGCACATATGAGTTGACGAGACTTGCCAAGAGCCAACCTTTTGACATGTGAAGTCGCTTTGTCAACGACCAACCCACCAGTGCCACCTTCCTAGACCCTTTCCTACTCACAATACCCGCCGCACACATGCACCATCCTCTTCATATCCCACCGCGCCCCCTTCATACCCCCTACCATGGACCAACACCGACTTGATCAACGTCTCTACCAGCAGACTCCGCAAGCCACATTCACCACGACCATCGCCTCTGGGATCGCCCTCCTCTACATCATTCACCAGGTTCTACTCTACTTCGACTACCCCGTCCTCTCGCCACAAGAAGTGGCGTGGAATGCCCTCGTCTACCTCCTCCCCAAGCAGCTACTGCTCGACTCGGCGCGAAGGCAGGAGCTCCAGGCCAACGACATGCTGTCCCAGACCCACGCGGCCAAGAGTGAAGCCCTGCGGAGGATGCTGGGCATAGGAGGCAACGCTGTACTGCAGAAACTGCCGGCGGAAGGCATCCTGCGAAGGGCGAGCTCGCTGGGCGCACGCATGCAGCCACTTAAGTCAACGACAGATGCGCCGGCTGGCTTGGGCAACTGGGACAATTCGTGCTATCAGAACAGCGTGCTGCAGGGGTTGGCTTCTCTCGACAGTCTCAAGCCGTATTTGATGCAGACTGGTGGTCAGGAAGTGGAGGCAAAGGACACTACGACAGAGAGCTTGCTTGAGACGGTCAACAGGCTTAACGATGCCAGCAACAACGGCAAGCAGCTCTGGACACCGGCAAAGTTGAAGAGCATGAGCAGCTGGCAGCAGCAGGACGCGCAGGAATACTTCTCGAAGATCATGGAAGAGCTGGACAAGGAGGCTGCGAACTCCGTGGCTGTCTCTGTGTCGAAGCCAGGTTTGGAGAGCATCGTGGAAGAGACAGAATCACAGCATGGCGAGGCAGACATAGTAGGAGACGCTGCCGACGACCCTTCTACATCCAACACCGAACGACACAACCCGCTCGATGGCCTCTTGGCTCAGCGGGTCATGTGCACACGATGCGGTCACTCGGATGGCCTCTCCATGATCCCTTTCAACTGCCTGACCGTTCCGCTTGGATCAGCGCGATCCTACAGTCTAGATGTATGCTTGGACGAATACACAAAGGTCGAGGAGATCCCAGAAGTTGAATGCGCCAAGTGCACTCTTCTTCGCGCGCAACAGCAACTGGAGAAGATGTTGCCCGTTCCGCCAAGCATCAACTGTGTAGACACGGCGCCGCCTGTCAGCAGCAAGACTCTAGAGCTGCCACCAGAACTTCGCGCGCAAGCGTTCGCACGTTTGAGCGCGATCCAGCAGGCCATTGAGAAGGATGACTTCGCTGACAGGACGCTGAATGAGACCTGTTCCATCCCCAAAAAGTCTCGGATGTCAAGCACGAAGACAAGGCAGGCCGTGATTGGAAGGCCGCCAAAAAGCCTGGTCGTGCATGTCAATCGAAGCGTCTTCGACGAGTTGACGGGAGCACAGAGGAAGAATTATGCCAGCGTCGATTTTCCTGCGACGCTCAACCTGAATTCGTGGATCGTGAAGACCGCAGAGGGTGAGCAAGCAAGTGAGAAATCGAGCTCTCTCTTACCAGAGCCAACACCGGGTAGCAGCAATGGCGAGAACATCTACCGCATCAAAGCAGTCGTCACACACTATGGACGCCACGAGAATGGTCACTACATCTGTTACCGGCAACATCCTGTCCGGCCACGATTGGATCCCACTAACGATGCCGAAAACGAGCAACTTGAGCCAGACGATGACGATCCACTATGTCCGGCGGATGGTGCAAACGAGGAGCGCAGGTGGTGGCGTCTGAGCGATGAAGATGTGTCGGCCGTCTCGGAGGAGGGGGTGCTGGCTCAGGGTGGTGTGTTCATGCTTTTCTACGAACGCGAGGACACACGAGTGCTGCCAACGGCGACTGAAGCCCCGGAAGCTGCGTTTCCCGAACGCCAGACTGCTCAGTTGAGTGCTGCTACTGAGGCTGCCGGGATGGGGCTAAAGGCAGCAGAAGCAGCACCAGTCGGTATCTGTCCTGACGATACTGATACCGAGTCGACACTCCTCATACCCGACATAGCACCTTTTGCCATGAGGTCTGAGTCACATGGACCAGATCGGAACATAGAGGCCGAAGGCTCATCAGATAATGGCACCATCCCTCCATCTGCCGATACATGGACCCCCCCTGCCGTCGAAGGGCAGGAGAAGAAAGCCAGCAATGAACCCGAGATGACGAAAGAACCGCCTCTGAATATTGCCAGGGACTCGATGCCACTTTCGACATCTCCCAGCAAGACTACGCCGCCATTCATGCGCACGGCACGACATCCTTCGGACTCTCACCATGGACCGGGTAAAGACAGGGGTTTTGGTGGAAGTGGGTTCAGGCCTGTGGCTGCGACTTGATACGATGCTGACGCAGAATCTGAGAACAATAACATCACTGAACTCGAGAACAGAAGTGCTCTGGACTCGTGAACTTTTCAGCGAAGGCGTTGGCGGAAATAACTGAGGTTACGACAGTACTGAACTTAAGTCAACAGAAAGATCGCTTTTCCATCCCATCCCATCCCATCCATCAGCGCATCAAACCACTAATAACCGAGGAACCAGCCTTAAAGATCATGGCGCCGCCCACCTTCTTCGGCATCTTTTTCAGGAAGCTGTGATGCTGTTCCATCGCCAACAATCAGTCGCCAGCTAACCGAGGTTATCGTTTTGATGGATTCTCTGCTTACCTCCGGATGCTTCTCATGGGCAGGATGCTCCGGGTTATCCTTGTTCTTGTGCGCGTCGCGGAGGATCTGCTTGTCCTCCTCGCTGAGACCGGACTCGCCCAATTGTCCTTGTCCTTGTCCTTGGTGTTGGCCACCGTGCCCTCCTCGACCACCGCCACGACCGTGACCGCCGCGACCGCCGCGACCGCCGCGGCCGCGGTGGTTGGGGCCTTGGTTGGGGTGGTTGTTTTGGGCGTGTTTCTAGATCGAAGGTCAACGATTGCTGATCGATTCATCAAGGTTGCACTGCAGGCGGTATTGCTTACTGGCGGCATTGTGGCTAAGCTATGTAGTGGGCGACTGTGTGTTCCGTGGACCAGTTGTTCGGTGCTTGTCAGACCCGCTGTAGTTGCAGACAAGGAAGACAATCCATCTTAGTCCATCCAGCTTGACGGGCGAAGCTCTGCTTTGAGGTGATGTCACTGTGGTCTAGAATCAGGTATTGTAGAGCTCTCCACTCAATAAGCGTCCCAGCCGTCCCGCCATTTGGGAGTCAAATGTTGTCGTACAGCTTCCCTGCGCAATGTTAGACGTTGCAGTAGAGGGAGACTCAATCATACAACACAACATGCTTGCAGTCAACCCTTGTCTCCACCGTCCAGTCCGTCGTTCTTGGCTCGTTGCCTTGCATTGATGACGCCGTTGTGCCGAAGGATCACGGAACATCCGGATCTGTATGAGGTAAGCTCGGTCTTCTCATACTACATTCATCTTTCCTGCCTTTGCATCCCGCCACATCGACCGGACCATCCCCGACCATGGCGGAGAAGACGAAGGAATCAGAATCCAAGAACCCAATCTCCCGCCCAGGAGAAGATCAAGCCGCCGAACCACCGCCAAACTACGACTCCATCTTTCCACCACCCGGCTACTCAAGGAGGACGTCCAAGTCCGCTACTACCACAAGCAGCGGTAGCAGCACCAAGACCGCTTCCCGACCACAAGTCTCCAGCTCCACCAGCCACGCCGGCTCCTGCGGCATGCCCGCCTCAATGGTCCAAAGCATTCTCGCCACCTCATCCTCTTCGCCATCCAAAAGCTCTGGTGGGTCTAAAAGGTGGTCGGATGATCCTCCGGGGAGCAGCAGAGACTACTCTACCGCCCGCTGGAACATCTACGGGACCCCGCTGAGCGATTTTGGGAATCCGTTCCGGAAGGGCAAGGGGAGGAAGTGAGAGGGGGACGTGTGGCGCCATGGTGCTGCGGCTGGGGAAGGACTTTGAGGTCAAATGTCGGCGGATGGTTCTTCGGGGAGAAATGAGGCCGGTCATGGGTACCGTGTCTCCGAAAAGTGGGCGATGAAGTCCTTAAGGAATTCATTGTCTGGTGCAGCAAAGGTTGGTGGCTTTACATCAGCAGCCGCTTACAGTGATCGGCATGAAGCAGCTGTCTACAGTCGCACTGTTGGCGCGTACTCACTCCGGGATCTGTGGTCACGCTGTTTGACTTGACACCGGCGTCTGGGAGCAGCAGAAATGTTGCGAGCAGCTATAGGCCATACTTCAAGTGTTGAAAGGGATGTTGGGAGAGCTGCTCACGAAAGCCATCGCTTCGTTCTGTAAAGTTTGTCTATCGACACGGGGTATCATCCGCAGAACTCGGCCAACGCCACCAAGAGCCTATCACCAAGCTCGTTGTTGCAAAAACTCTCACTCTTTTCCCTGCTACGTATACGGCGTAACGTCCTGCGGTCCCTCCAGTTCCACAATATAACCGTCCGCGCACGACGAAAAGCCGACCTTCGGCTGGTTGGCAAAGAAGCTATCATACTCGGAGTTCATCGCATCCATCAAAGTCCCAATCTCGCCACCAGGGAACAGCACGCTCCAAGGCTCCCGACAAGATTCCGCCGCACAGCTCTTGGTCACCATGAGCAACGCATCGAGGCGGTCGTAGAGACTCTGCTCGGAGCGACCGTAGTATTCAGCCGCGATGCCTTGTGGTGGGCTCGCGAGACGGTTGATCATTTGTCCGGGATCCGATTGCATGTCGTAGAACTCTTGCTCGCCGGTGCACCATACAGTGTAGAGGAACGTGTAGTCGTCGCTAATCAAACGGAGGGATTTGTAGGTGTTGTTGTAGTAGGATCCGGGGGTCGCGGCTTGAGGGGTGCCGCCGCCGATGTTCCAGAATTCGGCGGTGACAAGCTCCGTCTTCTCGCTGGTGCCTAGGTCAGTCGAGGTGTAAGCGATGGGTTGGCCGTCAAATTCCTCTCGAAGCGGCAGACCGAGCATCTGGAGGATTGTGGGTCTGGCGTATGTCAGCAACGAACAGTAAGCATGGGAGGCGGTGACCTTACGCCATGTCAGTATGACTACCGACGATTTCCGACGTCGCGCCCTTCGCTACATCAGGTCCTCGGATGAGCAGTGGGATGTTGATGTCCTCTTCGTAAGGACATCTCTTGCCGGCATGCAACCGGTGCTGGCCCATGTGGAAGCCTATGCACGTCAGCAAATACCGCCCTCAAGCTCACAGTGACTGGCGACCCACCATTATCGCTAGTGTAGATGAAATAAGTGTTCTCCAATAGACCGTGGTCCTCAAGACGCTGAATCATGCTGCCAACCATGTCGTCGACGTAAGCCATGTTGCCCAGACGGGATCGGTAAATCTCGTCAATAGTTGCGATGTCGTCGTCTGATAGCAGTTCAAGGTCCTTCACCCATGATGCGCCGCTGGACCGAGTCAGTAACTTGCATTCGAGGCGAAACCAAGCAAGGCTGTCATACCTTGGTTCAACAGGGTTAAAGTTCGATGTTCTAGGTGCTTGACGATCGGCGAACATGGCCTCGTACTTTGCCGGTCTATTGATCGCATCATTCGGGTCAGCATGGCACTCTACGACCTCTATCAATGGTAAATGCTTACACAGGAGGTATAAAACCTACGCCCCCACTTCCTAGGTGTGGTGCGACTGCACTGCTGTCAGTTTGAAGAGAAGCTTAAAACAACATTGAACGTGAGCTTACCTGGGGCGATCTGCATGTAAAACTGCCCACCCTTCGAGGCCGCATCGTCAATCATTGCCAACGCCTTCTCCTCGAGCACTTCAGTGGTATGCATGCCCTTGTATCCAGTGATATCGGCAGCAGTGGCGGCATTCGGCTTGTTGGTGTAGTGCGAATTGAGGTAATTATATGTCCAGGGCTCGACAAGGAAGCTAATCACGTTAGCATTTTCGAAAAACTCTCGGCGCTCATGAAGGGTCGATCTACCTGCTGTCCGACCAACCATTTGGTGGCGCTGGAGTAGCTATGTTCGACTTGTCCAGGCCATTCAGAAACTTCCCTGCATAGTACGTATTCACCCCTGCGTCGCTGAGCCAGACTGGAAGGTAGTTTTCGTTCAAACCAAGCTCTGCGAACCTGGTCCAGCCGCCTATGGTTATGGTTAGCGAGCATCGGCGACCGCAAAGCCACCAAGACGTACCGTAAGGAAGTCGGATGCTGGTGATGTTGGTGTTGTGTGCCGCTCTGCCGGTGAAGAAGTTGACCCTCGAGGGACAACATATTGCTACCGTGCAGTAGTGCTTGTTGTAAGTGACACCCTCGCCACCGATCAAATTGCGTACGTTGGGCTGCACAGACAGCGAGTCGAGAATCAGGTCTGCGGGTGGTTAGTGTTGGAAGATCGGAACGGCTTGGTGTCGTAGTACCTTGATCATCGGTCATGATCACAACGACGTTCGCTCCACTGGTCGGAATGCTACCGGCAGAAGTAGTAGGCGCAGCTGGAGTGGAAGAAGACGCAGACGCAGGCGCAGAAGCAGAAGCAGAAGCCGCATTCGTGAGCACAAGACCTAGCCCGAGGCCGAGGGCTAGCAGGGTGATGCATCTAGGCATGTTAGTAATTCGGGCGGAAGTACGGCTTTGCTGAAGGTCGACACAAGCTCAACATACAATATCCCAATGGCAGCGACCGTCGGACAACTCCATCTTGTACTCGCAACCTTCCGCGGACCAGTGGGATCGCCAGATGTCGATAATTGTGTTTCAGATGGCGAATCCTCTTTCTCCGATGTCGAGTCGTCTAGACCTCTCTGCGGAGGATGTGATGGAATCTGTAGGAAAATTAGCATTGGCGTGTAGATCCTGCCATGTGACTAACCTGGCTAGTGCGCATAGCCATCGCAGTAGTGGTGCAGTGGTGGCTCTCGGTATTGTTGGTTTTGGTGTAGGTTTCGGGTCGCTAGTGTTGAGAATAGCTCTTGTGGCTTAAGCAGTATAGTATCTTTGTGACGGCGAAATATGAGTGGATCAGATTCGCAATGTCGTGCGATCCTGGGAGGATGAGAGAAGAGAAGTAACCACACGTGAAGATGCTCGAAGCAAACAAACCTAGCATGCAAAGTGCGCATTCACTTGAAGGTGACTTATCTGTTCATCTGAAGTGTGTCCTTGCGCGAGGGTACCAGACACGTTTGTGATGCCTTGCATGGCCACGAGGCGTGGTGGGAAGGCGGGACGCGGTATGTCTCCTCACACGGGAGGAACGAGCCAACAACAACGTGAAAGCGGCAGAGCGCAGGGTCAGAAGGACGAGGGAGCCGGCTGCTTCCATGAAACCTTTCACGACAGCCGTCGTCCAGCGCCAAGTTGTCCGGTATACCTTATGTAAATGTCGAGTATCCAAGGCAAGGCGCGACTAAGCGTGTTTGTGTTCTGGAATCACGGAGACGTTGCGAGCAGTGGCACAGGTCCACCGCAGCAGTACGCTCCCCTCATGCCGTATGTCCAAACCCAATGTCGCCATCCTTCAAGCTCTTGACGATCCCATACGACACCGTAGATGGCAGCGTGTTGTGGTGGGAGGTAGAGCAGAGGTGTTGTTGTTCTCCGCCAGCGGTGCAGAATTGCGCCATCAAGATGCGCCAAGCTTGAGCTGGATTGCGGCAGGCGAGAAGTGAGCCATTGTTGTACTGCAGGATGGCGTGCGTTTGAGGCAAAATGATGAGGATATTGGGATGATGTACAACTTTCCGGGTATCTACCCACATTGAGAGGTAGCCTGTGATGGTGCAAGAGTGTACCGGCACACCTCCTGCTCCCCCGAGTTTGCTTGAATATTGACGAATTGTGTACATCTATCCCTTCCCCAAGTCCATACATTTACACACCTCCGTGCAAGGCTAACAAGCGTGCTGCTCTCTACCTCAAGACAGCAACAGCACCATCCTTGATCGCCGTCTTCCTCGCCAGCACCTCCTCCACCTTCTCCTTCACTCCCTGCTTTCCCGCAGCTCTCTGCACAAAATGCTTCATTACCGCCTCGTGATCCCTGGGCCGATTCTGATCAATATAGTCCTCGATGGTCTTTTCCTTGGGCAACCCAATGTCCGCAGAGTAGGGGTATTCGATATAATCACTCCCCTCGCCACTCGTCAACAGCTGCAGATGCAAAGTGGATATAGGCGGGAAGAACTGTTGCACTGCCTCATTGGTCACCTCGTCAAGAGTAGCAGGAGTCCAGGAAGGAGTGCGTCGAGGCTTATCGATGAGCAAAGCAGAGACACCCTCAACAAAGTCCGGATGTTCCATGAAGCGGCTCGCAATGCCTTGCTCGCGAATGAACGTATCGGCGATGCTCCATTTAAGCGAGTCGCGGAGCTGCTTGTAGGTGACTTTGACGGACGTTGGAGACCGTTGAAGAATAGTCTTCTTGGTCTTCCTGGCCCAGTCGATGATTTCGGTACCGCCTGGCGAACTAGGGTCCCGGTCAGCGATCTCTTGAAGCATGTCCAGACAGGCTTCGACAGTTCTGTTGGCGGGTTGGAAGCAGTAGTCGACGGCGCGGCGGATGTTGCCTCCTACGGGTGCTGATAGCGGCTGGTCGTGTGGTAGACCAGTGCTGAACTCGTCGATGGTGGTGTTGATGATACGTAGGCGATGGTCCATGGAATCATTATCCTTGAAGTCTAGTTCTGACAGCCGAGCTTCGAGGTCTGGTAAGGAAGACGAGTGGATGTAGTGGGTTGCGACACCGGCGTAGAAGGCGTTAGCGCCTTTGAGCTGTTCGCTGGTGAGCGCAAGGTACATCCCGAGCTGCCCGTCCATTCGAGGTAGGAAGAAGGAAGCGCCGACGTCTGGGAAGAAACCAATGGTCGTCTCCGGCATGGCAAAGACAGTGTTCTCTGTAGCAATTCGGAAGGGGGCATTGATGCTGAGTCCAACACCTCCTCCCATAGTTATGCCGTCCAGGAATGCCACATACGGCTTCGAGTATGTCGCAATGAAGTGGTCGAGCTTGTATTCCAGGCTGAAGAAGTCCTTGCTCTTGTCCTGCCCTTCCTTGCCCTGCTTGTTCCAGTTCGCCAGACCAGCTACATCGCCGCCCGCGCAGAAAGCCCTTCCCTCTCCCTTGATCACCACCACATTGGCCATCTGGCTCTTGCCCCATTCTGCCAGCCGGGGCAGGATCTTACGGCACATGCTGCCATCGAGCGAGTTGAGCTTCTTCGGCCGGTTGAGCGTGATTGTGCGCACGCCATGCTGCGAGCCGAAGAGGACATCGTTCGGCTCGTCACCCGGCTCTTCTCTGATATCGCTGGCGGTGGTCGCATAAGTAAACTATCCCGGCTATTGTCAGTCAGTGAACAAGACGTGCTTGTCGCTGGAACTGTTTCTCACCTTGAATGTCTGCCTCATCGACGGGTCCAGGATCTTTGCTCGAAGCGGCATGCTGGAGAGGACAGTTGTGCGCGGCGCAAATCTGCTACACGTTCGGAGGAGCATTGTGTAGGTGGCAGAAGCATAGCATCATTCAGAGGTGTAGCTCGTTCAATGGCACTGCTGAGCTTCCTCATCCTCGGCTACACAAGAAAACGTCCGAGATTGAGCCGACACGGTACCACGAGCACATATGAGGTACGATCTCAACACACAGACTCAAACGATACGGAACACGTTGAGAGCTCAAGGCTGTTTAAAGGGCGTAGCTTTCAGCTATCTCTGTTGCTACAATCTCGCTCCATGAGGTCTCCTAAACCGCCCAACATGACCTCCGTACATTGGTGCGCCCTTCCAATGCGAGAACCAATTCCGCGAGCTTCTTGCGGTACTATCGCTCGTCTTAGCATCACCATCTTGAGGATCGCCCGTTGCCACTCGTTTCGCACCCTGCCACAGCGCTGGCCCAGGGCAGTGGTATTTGGCGATCTTCTGGTGGATGCTGATGTCGATGCCAGGGTCGGTCTCTTTGTACAGCTCACGGCCAAGGCGGCAGTCAACCCCAGCTTCACATGGATCCGCGCTTGTGCTGGCAGATTCTGAGTTTTGGATGTCCAGGTTGATGCACTGCGGAAACATCTGCGCATGGCCCTCGTGTCCGGCACCCATGAGTGCGAAGAGTTCAGTTCGTAGAACGTGCGGACCTGATAGCGTAGACGGTATCGTGACGCTCCAAGTGTTGTTGGCATCTCGCAGGATGTCTGTGCCCCAGCGGCCAAAGGTTCCAACGCCATCAGCAGTCATATGCGGAGATTGGAGCATTCCTTTCTCCGCGATCTTGAAGAACTTCAGATCCTCCACTGAAGCGTCGCGGCAGTCGCCTTCACATGAAGCCATGTAATCGAGCACTGGGCCTTCGTGTGTCGGCCGCCACGGTCCTCCTTCGGGAGTCTCCCATGTCAACTCCAACGTATCGCCAGGTTTGACAGGAATCACAAGAGACCCGGGAGTAGCATTCACATGACATGCGACATTGTTAGTGCCCACGTCCTTGCTGAAGACTGGGTTATGTTGGCCGTAGTTGTCCGAGTACCAGACTGCAGATGGCATTTTCCCGACGGATCGAAGGTGCCACGAAGGGTCGGCGCCGGGGTAGTGTTTTCCGTTTACCGTGACGCCAGAGACCCAGCCATGTGCAGATACTGCCGGGATGGCGATCAAAGTCGCAAGAGCCAGGAGACGTCCCATGGTGCAATGCATGCTTGAGATACGGTCGCTAGTAAAGATGGTCCAGCGAAAGTGCTACCAGCGCAACTCTAAATTCTAGCAATAAGAATTGTAGTGAATTTAAGAGTCGATCAACGGCATGGAGAGAAAGAAAGAGTGTGTTGCGGAGTGAGGTGGTCGGCTCGAAGTAAAACACCTACAAGTACGAGCCTTGAAGGCAGGGACTCACGGTGACCCCAGAAGCAGGGAGCATAGACGAAAACAATGCGTCTCATCATGCGACAATGCTGATCGGCTAGACGACAAAGCGGAATGTGAATGGGGATAAAAAGAGGCACGATGAAACAAAGGCGCTTGCAGTTCGGGAAGTAAAACAAGGAGTGAAGTCAGCTGGGCTGGAATGTACGCATGGCAAGATGAGGCCTACTGTGACGATTTGATACCGAGATATCAACTACATGGATGTATCCGTCTTCAGCCGGCGGTCAGAAACATTCACCTGCTGTCTTTCTAATCGATCTCTCTGAGATGGGGATGCTGACATGCTCCCCCCATGAGCCGCTCAGTGTACATGGCAAGACCGATACTCTGCATCTTCTCTCCGTTGATATGCGAGAGGAATTCGTTTCCACGACGACGTAGCCATTCGGCCATTGCACTATGCTCGCACTCGGAGGAAGGATTGCCATGTCTCCAGTAGGCTCCCCAAGCGTGCTGAAGGTTCTGCAGACCGACCATACACCCGTAAGGAGCCATTGAGGCGAAGTAATCCACACTCATGGAGATGAGCTTCGCGCATCGAAGCTCTTCTGCCTGCAGTTCCGGTAGCGATGGCCAACTGATTGAGGCTCCACTGGCATAGAGAGTCTGCAAAAGACCGCTCAAGATGATCTTGGATGACCATATGAGGTTGAGCCCGGTGACGTTGAGGAATTGGTCGTCGTCCCACTTAAATGAGAAAGGCACCAGTCCTGCCTCTTCGGGAGTCTTTGTTGGCACTTTGTGCATAGGAAGACCAAATGCGTTGTCCGCCTACGAAGCAGAACGTTGTCAGCTTTCTTTTACGTCTAATGAAGACTGGATGCAGAACTCACAGCCCAGTCCAGACCCATCAGTTCCTGTGCAAGCTCAACAGCCTTGCGGCTGGCTTTCTCGTCTTCAGCATCCTCCCGGACTGCCCGGACAAGATTTGTTAAGCGTCCCCACTTAGTCAAGACATAGCACCGATGACCCGTCCACGACGCAATCTCACGATCGAAGGTGGGTGTCATGCTGAGCCATTCCCGAGTGTCGAACACTGAAGGCTTGTTCGTTACAAGAGCTTGCTGCCACCAACGTTAAGATCGTCAGCAGACTGGAGGGCGTAAGAGGTGGGGCGAGACGCACCGCTTGAGCGTATGTGGAATGGAACAGCAAGCGCTCGAACTCTCCTTTCTCACAGAATTGCGGTCCAACAGCAAGGAAGATGTTGATTGCGCCATACGAGTGCGAGATCCATGCTCGAGTCTCGCTACCGGCCATGATCCTGTCGTTGATCAGTCAGCATCCGCCGCTCAAGCGCAGCGTGCACGCAGTCGAGGGAACGTTTACTCGTAAAGCATCAGCATCTTAGTAGCAGCGATGACCTCCCCAGTTACACGCTCGGCACGCTCGGTCACCCTATCACGCAGTAATGCCAAAGCTCTGCTGTATCGATGCCGGCTCTGCTGGAGCGCAGCACCGTCAAAAGTATACCTTGCTTTGTGTCCAGTAACAAGACATGCAATGGCCCGATCTAAGACATGACAGTGGCCAATTCGAACCAAGCACATGTCCATCCAGGATCCCAGGATACGCAGCCTCATTCCCGCTGATGTGGCAGAGTAAAGTACAGCTCCGAACTCGCATTTCAGCCGATAGGTGTCACTTGAGGGTGGCGGCCTCGGAGACACGCTCTTGCGATCCAGTCGTTGCTTGGGCCTACTCAGTCTTCCATCTGTAGCGACATCGACTGGCTTGAATGTGTGATAGCGCCCGTTGCCGCTGGGAGGCTGCTTGGAAGACCTGATGGCCAGAGTGACTCCGCTTCCGTCGCCATTGGGCCACCTAGCGGCATTGACACCACTGTCGCTCTCCCCGCCACTGCAGTCCGTATGGCAATGGTGCACAAACTTGGAGACCTCATGATTGTACCTGCATCCTACTCCGCGATCCGCGCAGCCAGAGCAGGAAGGTCGAGCTTCGTTGCACTGTATACGGTGAGCAATTGGCGCCCCGAGGAGCAAGCACTATGTAGCTGCAGTCACCTTGCGTTTCCGACGACGGCAGTCGTCGCAGCGCCCGCTTCTAATTACCGCCATCGTAGTAGAGGGTGACGGTACAAGCTCTGAATTGCCAGGAGAGGAAGGGAAGGCGAGGGGTCGTGGTTTTTTCTCGTCATGCACGGCGGTCGGCCATGGAGTACTTACCAACGTTCATGTTGAAGATGAATACGAGAGGCTGAGGAGAACATGGCTGAGAGGAGACAGGCAGTTGGTTGTGGAATGGGGAATCGGGTAATGATCGATGGCAGACATCCTATACCTACCGCAGTATACAGCCAGTTGGCTGGGCCATGGATTGGTTCTACCAACCAATTGACCGAATGCAGCCTTGAGGTACAGTTTTGAGAAAGAAGAGACAGCGTTGAATCTCAGCTCCTGCTGAAGTGCGAACGTGATCGACACTTGGAATGCCGCTTTTGGATCGCGCCTCCTGCCAAGTTAGGGAATGTGTCTTACGACCTCACTTCTGCCCATACAATTGACCTTCTGTTGCGAGTACGGCTACGCACATCAATTATGTTCGAAAGCTGGAAAGAGCGGCATCCGTGGCTGGCTTGGTATCTCTGCAGCGGTATGGAGGCCCTACCGCTTGGAGCGCGTCGTCGGCAACGGTGATGGGACGACGGCCTGAAGATCCCGTGTCAATGATGGCTCGTACAGATTGACACTCGAAGCACACATGGACTCTCAGCCGCGAGAATTCTGGGAGCGGGTGCAGCTCATACGTCTGCCTCGCATGCACCAAGATTTACATCAAAACTCGAGATGAGTTGGCAGAAGAGATGAACACTGCGGTTGAAGTTATACTCTTCGCTGGAGCTGCTCGTTGACATGAAGAGGTGCCAGTGGTACATCACTGCACAAGTTGTGCTCAAACAAGAAAGGATCAAGGGGTCGTATCTCGTGTCTCCCGGCTCAAGCAGTCGTCTCGGCCTAAGAGTGTACTCCTCTGCAAGGGACGAAGTCTTTGCCCGCCCGGCAAGGTAGGGAACCGGAAGCAGGAGACGCCACGACACAACCATGGCATTTCCTGCTTGGCCACTGGATTTATAATGCACCACGTTCGTCAGTCTGCAACGCCGCCATGAGAGCTTGGGCCTGGTCGCCGTACGCAACCGGACACCAAGGCTTCGCTGGCTCACACTCTTGAGAATCACGGCTCTTACGGCTGCGGGGCTCTGGAGCTGCACAGCATTCGCGAAATAGAGCTGTGCATCCTGGTTGACTGAACAACTATGGCCGAGTCAGCATCCAATGTCTCTCGAGCAACCTTCTGACCGACGGAACCACTGGACTGCTACGCCCGGAGGTCATGTGCTCAACCATGCATTCGGACGGCCTATGGACATTACGGCTGTTTCGCAAGTGCTGTGTGATCCGCTATGACTCTCTAAGGATGGGCTGCCTTCGGCCAGGACAGAAAACCCTTGGCGAAAGAACGCGAACCACAAACAACGCCCGTAGTCATGCGTCTGCGATCCTACGGAAGGCTGAGTTGCGGGTATGTTATTTCTGAAAGCGACCGCTCCACAATCCGAGCTGAACAGCTCCCGTGTCTGGTGAGATGTCCATAGCAAAGCCACTGATCAGCTTCCGATGCGCACCTTGCCATGCACTTCTACACAATAGCAAGATCCTACACTCAGGTAATGTGACGGAGGTGGAAATCCTCGACAACCTCAAGAGCAGCGGCCGCTTCAAGCAACATCCAGACGAATGCCCACGTGTCGACCGATACTGGTGCGAAGACAGGCATCCCCGGTTACGGTCAGCATCGGAGTCCCGGATCTGTATGTTTCACGAAGAACCGGACCTCGCGAACCTGGTATCAACGCTTCGCCGGTGCCACTCGCACTCGCGTGCTTGTTCCCCCCCTCCCATTCCTCGCACGCACCACAGCTGCAGAGACGACACAGCAGATGATGAGGCTTTCAGACTGCCTTTGCTGAGAACGGAATCCATTGACGCCTTTCTATTGACTTCCTCGCGATTACTCATACAGTGGATGAGAACTACGCCAGCAGCAGTGCCGATTTACACATCTCATTCCGGCTGTCTGGGACCAACTATGCGACTAACATGCTTCTTCAACGACTAAGACTTGGTGTCAAAGTCGTTTGAAAGATCTGCGAAGAGGATTCAGAAGGATGGCGGTGCGCACAAAGCTTGAACGCCAACCCCAGATTTAATCATGCTCTGAAACAAATCCGACTATCCGGGAGGTAAATTCAGCACCAAGATACGGCAAGAGCTGCAAGACACGGTAAGCCATGCAGCTACTAATGCTTAGCGTTGTTGGAAATGGCAAGCTGTACGCCACGACTCTGATCTCAAGCTTCTTTGGTGCCTCCGCGGCATGCTTCTCATCTCTTGTGATCCTTCGCTTTCTCTAGCTTCACTTTGCAACATCACTTCGCCCACCGTCTGTGTCGTTGCCCAAGTCTGTACATCCTTCTCATTTTGTTGTGTCAGCTCTGAATCCTACCGTCTTCCTTCTCTCCACTGCACCGGAACATGGGGTAATCGACATCGTGGGAGTGTCCACCTACATTACTGGCTGTTCGAACCTGACGCTCAGACCCTATACCGCGACTTCAACACATCGTGCTGAGATGCCTCGCCGCTACTGGCTCTACTTGGGTCGAATGGACGGCAGAATTGACTTCACAGCTGAGGTCAAGGGGACTGCGACAGGTGGGGAGGGGTGACAGATGCTGGAGGGTGCCGTCGTGGTTGCGATGATGGCAATGCTGCGCGTGGACGTCTACAAAAGCACGGCGGTATCCTGTGAAATTCAGGTCTTCATCAGCATAGCATCGTTTGCTACTCGGCATCTCCGTCCAGACTCTGGCAATCCAGGCTGAGCTTTCGGCAGGTCAACAGCGACCAAAATGCATCACTCCATCGCAGCGTTGAGCGCTGTGCTCGCCATGGTCATCGACGTATCGGCCATTGCTTTCCCTCAAGCTACCACGACTCCAACAACCGATGCCTTGACGGTATTGTGCTCGGCCATTGCCGACGGCGCCAGTACTCCTTCGGCCTGCCAGACCGCCGCTACCCCCTCGACTGCTGCTGCCCCGTACTGCACGAACTTTGCAGACCCTCACTACTGCGGCACCGGCATCGACTACTGCACTTGCAGCAATGGCGCTTTCTCAATCGCTTCTGGCAGCAATCCGTGCCCGTATACCACCGACCCAGGGTCTGACCTGGCCTACACCACGCCTACATGCTCTTCCACCGCTGCATCCCCAACTGCCACGGTGCCTGATGCCTGCGCCAGCGGCTCGCAGGCCAGCGACGACACGGCTTCCTGCTGGAGTGACCTCGGACTCACGGACTACGTCAACTCCTGGTGGGAGGACAACCAGGACAGCTGCGGCGGGACTGTCGTTCACCCGAATGAGGACGGTGATCCAGACATGAGCTTCGCGAACTGCTGGTACAAGATCGTCCTTCCAGACCAGTTCCCTGTGCAGTGTGACATTCTTAGTACTGGTAATGGCTGCAAAGAGCCGAGCTGGGGCTGGTTCGATGGCGATGATGCTGTTCAGCAGTTCTGGGTGACTTGGTTCGTACTCATGATTGCCGATCGAATGCATTGGCTGACGGCAATTGCAGGTCCATCTACAATGTCAACCAATGGTTTACGAACTTGAACTCCGCCATCACCGCGGCTGGATCTGAGGTCGAGGGCATTACTGGCAAAGTCGAGACGTCGTTCAACGAGCCTGAAGTGCCGTCGACTCCAGCTTGGTTCGTCAAATGTAGGTCCCTGAGCGCGTGGATAGCAGGCTGACTGAGTGCTGGCAAATAGGGAGTACGTCCTTGATGGCCTTGTTTTCGCAACCAGCCTGTGGGCTGAAGGCTCTGAGATTGAAAAAGCACTCGTGAGAGTCATCCCGCAGACGTTTGCTCTCACAACCAAAGTCTACCCGCAGGGCGAGGTACAAGTCTATCGATTGTGTTCGAGACGTCACAGAGACTAATGTCGGGCTGCAGGTGGAGGGTGTTGTCGAGCAGTGGTCCGATATCGAGGGTGCGATCTCAGAGTTCATCAGATCCTGGGCAGACGACGTTGGTAATGGTATCGAGCTCGTTGAAAATGTATGTCACAGAGTCCCCTCTCTCGGAATCATCGCTTGGAAATAATTGCTGACCTCGCCTCGCAGGACGAGCCGACTTTTGTTTCATTCGCGGAGGCAGGCTCCTTTACTTCGGGAGTGCGGGACTTGTCTGGCCTGACTGACTCCATCTATACTGTTATTGGAACAGAGCTGGTTTCTGTGACTGCTGCCACAGTCGGCTACATTATTACTAGGACCGCCGGGCAGAGCATCGCCGACGTTCAGGCGACTTCGGATCTCCAGTGGGATGTTGGTGAGTTGCTTCGTACGCTCATATCGACGGTAACACAATACTAACGCAGCTATAGATTGCGGCGACGGCTACGACTCGATCGGAATCTGCGGTCCCTGGTACTACGATGGTAAGATCCACTGGCACGCCCAAACACTGTGCACCGAAAGCTGACTGTCTGCCAGGCACTGACACCTACAGCTTGACCAATCAGCAGAAGTGGCAGCAAGACGAATCCGACCTGATGCAGCTCCTCTTCGAAGGCGACTCTCCCCTCGCGGACGCCAACATCTTCTTCACGGGCTCCTTGAAATGTAGCCAGACCTCCGGCAAGAACGGCGGTGGTGCGGCGAGTCTCGGTGACGACTACACGACCTTCAACTGCCTCGCCAACAACCGAGTCTGCACCTGGGCTTGGGAAGACTCCGACCTCGAAAACAGCTACTTCCTTCCCGACTGCACCGATGACGACGTACCCAATGTCTTTGATTTTAAGTGCTGCACGGGCACGTACGACAATTGCGGCCAGTGTGCGCCTTTTGCTTACTTTGGGCCGGCGATTGAGACGGACGATGACGTTAAGCTGTGCCACACTAACTGCGGTGGTGGTGAGGTGGAGTAGACGTGGTTGGTGAGATGGTGTTCGCTTCTCAGGGATTGGTCAAGACAGCATGCTAACAATGTCCTGCAGTGGAGGTACTGATCTCTTGTCCCACTTTTACTAGGACAGAAAGCATTGGTCAGGGGTCTATTTTATCTCGATCGTTAAGCACATCAGTAAATACTCGGTCACTCATGCCTCTGTTTAATACCGACTCCTCATCTGTTCTTACACGTCACACGAAGCTGGCCAATTGATCAAGGTGCTGACGCAAAACATGGGTGCTGTGTCCTCGCTCTTTGCAACACACTCCACTCGTATCAACCTGCCACTCGAACGACCACCCTGCGATGCATTGCATTCATGGCAGTCTACTCAAGTACAGCAAGAGGTTGGGCACATCCCTTAACATCACCCCTCTGAGTGCGATCCCTCCGGGTCTTTGGGGCAGTGCATCAGCTTCCTGATCTTTCCTTCACATGCGGCACAGGCGAAGCGCTGAGGTCGGGTGTCCACATCAGCCAATGAATAAACGCCCGGATGGACTTTTGGCCCAGGTTCACACGAGGCTGAGGAGCATCCTAGAACACATGCGTCTTACTGCTGGCGGAATCCTTCAAAGTCGTCGTGCTCGACCCCCGAACTGCTGGCACAGAGTTGGCGGCTGCCTTTCGTACTGCTCAAGAATGTCTGTTTAGCAAGGTGGTCTACCAATATGACATCTATCGAGCGCTTCGACTTTCACAACCCCGATGAACCGGGAGAGGAACCCCTCTACGACACTTTGTTCGATATACTCAGCCAGGCACTTCAACCAGACGCTGAGTTGTCACTCGGTAGTGCGGTGGAACAACTTTCAGCAACTATACCAAGTGAACAAGATCATTCGTCGGGTATGGGCACGTTCCTGCCGACGTGCTATGAGCTTGCCGCGCAGATTCCGTACAATCATGCGTCTCTGGTGAAAGTGATCACAATCATGGATATGGTCATTGCCTCGAACGCAGCTGTACAAGGCAGATCAGACAACAGGTCGTTTAAGTATCAGACATTGAGCGAGACTCTGCGAGACTGGTGGAACAGTAAGTCAACTCGTACATCCATACCAAAGCGCACACATAGACAATATCATCCAGGCAGCGATCCCTCCGAGTCGCCGCAGCACTACATCAGTTTCCAGACATTCGCGGCTCACGTCCTCTCACGAGGGATGGGAAGAGGCACCCATCTAGCACAGTGGACTCTGCAGATGGCTTTCGAGGACCGCAAAAAAGAAAGCATGACTCCTCTGTACCTAGAGGCATATGTGATGGCTGCATCGCAATGGATTGTGATCTATGGCGAGGAGATCTACCGTGACGCAGTGGCCGGCGGACAAGGATGGTTCTTTAAAAAGTCTTCGACGGATCTAACCCTGAAGCATTGGCGCAGGTGGAAGAAGGATTTTCGAGGTGTCGCTGGTGGCAAGAGTCGCGGCGGCATCGATTCTGGGGAGGAGTGCAAACGCCTGGCGGCTTCTGCAGCGGAGGCGATGGATGAGCTCGAGCTGAAGAAGGGGCAGTGACAAGGCTCAGTGGGGAGGTCGTGCAGCTCCATGATGCTCGGGAAATCTTGACCGGTGCTTGATGTTAGACCTAGCACCAGCAAGAGTAAGGTAGAACAAGAAGAACTGATGTCTACCTTTCGTCAATGCCAGAACGTGAAGGTTGTGGCTTCCTTAGCGAGATTGTAGAGTCCTTGATCCTGATTGAAGTACAGCAAGGTCATGTGTTGTCTTCGACGTCAAGCGGTGAATGTGGTTGTGAAGTACGGCTATTGGGGATGTCAGGCCAAAATTTCCCGGCGATACGTTCTGCCGATAAGGCCCGGGCCGTGACGTGGCTGGTCTACCTAACCAACCCCTGCATTCAACGGCTGTCCCTGACCTGAATTGGACCAGATCGATTGCGCGTCGCCTGCACCTCATCCTTCACTCCAACGTACCTGCCACAATTCACAGTCGCTACTGCCTCATACTCGACAATAAGAGGATCGCCACTGCCACTGCCAACCCCCCGAAATCGCAATTACGACCGGAGCCAGTTGAACAGAAGACGACGTCCATTGCCACAGAAGAGCATCACAGCTACACCAACACACGATACCACAGCAGCTTGGAAGTACACTTTCTGCGGCATACTTCGCAGCCCAATACACTCCAGCACATCTACCACATACTTCAATTCCATCGCCATGCGCCTCACCACCATCTCCTGCCTCCTGGCAGCCCTCACCTCCGCCTACACCGTGCTCGCAGAGTCTCTCCCCCAGCAAACCCCCTCACCCTCCGCAGAGCTCATCGAAGAGCGGATACGCCACCTTGAGTGAGTCTATTCCTTCCACGTCCCCATCAACCAGCCACTAACACCTCCCTCTCCAGACCCCGCCAAGGCGGCGTCGGCGTCGTCCCAGACGCAACCCGCGCCGCCGGCGTCCAAGCCCCGGCCATCACCGTCTACGACAGCGGCGACAAAGCCCTGACTTACACCCAACTCTTCTCCGCCGTCCCAGACCAATGGCCGAGCGCGAAGCGCGGACGGATCGGCTACGGCAACTTGCAAAAGCGGGATGATGTGCCGGAGCAGGCAGTTGAGACGGGTATTGCTGGGCGGATACGCATGACATGAGATTCGAGAATGATCAGTGCGCTGATGTGATCTTGCGAATAGTTGTGCAGACGGCGACGCGGATGGTGGTTGTGGAGATGGTGACGGAGGTGGTGACGCAGCCGTTGCAGAGGGTTACGGAGATTGTGGTGGTGGAAACGATGGCGGTGTACAGCAATCGGACAATATTCAATGGCACCGCGAGCGCTGGCAACGTCAACCGCCCGGCGGCTGCGCGGGGAACTGGACTGCGCGGAACAGGACGTGTGGCCAGTGGGCTTCTCGCGACCGGATATGGAACTGCACCCACGGCTTCAAGATGAGCGGGCAGATGGCCGGCAATGTGAACATATATGTGCTTTGGATTGACAGGCGGTCTTTGGATTCAGGCATGGCGTTTGGAAAGGGTACTGGCGACTGTTGGGATACAGGCTTACACTTGTACAGAATACATAGCTACGATAATGTGCATCATGTATCATACACGCCCATCGCGCACCGACTACGTTCTTTCCGTTTCGCGATTAACAGCTTGAGCGGAGCACAAGGAAGGAATCCACCTCTTTGGCCGTCTCAACAAGACGCTCAGTCTTCTACCTTGGAGTCTTGCTCAGTTCCCGAGTCGTCATCTTTCACTCGCACCATCTCACCCTCGAGTTCGGGCGCCATGCCCAGTCAAACTCCTTACCAGTTCTGCCAACTCAGTAAGCTGCACATCCTTTGCTCACTTGGAGCAAGGCCGGACAGATAATGGGGAGACCCCAGCGACACTGTGCGCACTGCCACAATGTCCCTCTAAAGCACCGAGACGAAGCTCGAATCGTACACAAAGATCCAAGGCAAAACGAACAGCCAGATCGAAGCCAGCTCCCAACGCCGACTGCTCGCCGCATTCTCCGTAGCCGCTGGATCATAGACCGTTTGATTGACGACCATATCCGGGTGGTGCGTGAAGAAGAATGTTCGGCCAGTAGTATTCCCGTTGTTGCCGAAGGCATTCGGTGCGACGGACTGGGTCGGTACCTCGCAGGTCTTGCCGGAGCTACTTGCCTTGCCAGGAGGACAGAAGGACTGGTAGATGGAGTTGCGAGTGGAGTTGGTGGAGTTGAAGTAGGCTTTCACGTAGCTGACTGTCATCACCGCGTCGGAGAGGGGTGGGCCGTGGGACCAGAAGGGGTTACCGTTTGACCCTGCGATGCGGTGTTGTCAGACATGTCTTCTGACTTGACTCTCCGAACCTCGAGGCCTGACTTCAATCCCAGTTCAAGCCCCCTCTGGTGATAGAGAAGATAGCAATGACTTACAATGCGAAATATGCACCCTCCCAGCACTACTCGGCACATTCTCCCCCGTGCTCCAGACCATCCCCCCATTCAAGTAATACTCCACCCTCCCCGGCAGCCAGTCAAACCGATACTCATTATAGTCCTCACTCGGCGCCGACTCCAGCCTCCACACCATCTGCTTCGACCCTTCCACCGCCTCGTCCCCTTGCAGATCCACGGTAGTGTTCTGCACGACCAGATGAACGGGCCAGCCCTCGCCCTTCCCCTTCCCACCGACCTGCTCTGCCGATAAGACTTCCACGTCCAGTTCCTGCGAGTCGTTGCGGTAGAAGTAGAATGCCGCGCACGTCCCGTTGACGGACGAAGTCTTCATCGCGATTCTGAAGCTGCCGTACAAGATGTCGTCGCGCTCGGACACGATTTCTGCTGAAGGCACTAGCTCTCCTTCTTCACCCTCTTCGTGCACGAGGGCGCTGCGCACCCAGAGCTGGAGACCGGGATGACCGCCTAGGACATCTCGCCCGCCGTAGTCGTGGGGGGTGGAGTGGTAGTTTGTGATCAGGTTGAAGCTCTGCTTCGCCATGCCGTAAGGTCCGGAGGAGTCCGTAGCGGGCGTGGAGTAGTTCTGCGAGATCCAGCCGGTAGAGTGGGTGGTGTTGAAATTGAGGTCGGTGAGGTGGAGGAAGTCGGTTTCGAAGAGGTCGGTGAAAAGGGCGTGGGTAGGGGAGTGGGTGGTGTTGACTGTGTAGCCGCATTCGCAGGCTGCGAGAGCTGATGCCGCGAAGATGGGCAGCGAAAGGAGAACCCAGATGTTGCCCGAGGTAGCGACAGCGCTGGGTCATTTGGGAGTATCTCTGGCGATGTCAGATCGTTCGTGTTTGTCAAGAAGCTGATATTGCCCGGCAGGCTAGAACGGTGCTGGCAAGCATTCGAGCGCACCTCTCTCTTTCTTCCAGTAGCCTTATGGCCTTGCTTCGCCCTCCGTATGATCCATTCGAGGCGTGGCGACTTGTTTTGTTCTGCTGCAAATTGGTCGTCGAGACTTTCGAATGAGGTATGCGGCATCAGCGAGCGCCACCAGATTCTTCGACGTCAGCCCAAGAAAACTTCACCTGCAGGTCCTGTTTCACCACATACCCACGACCCAAACATCGCTCCCGCATCTGCATCTGCATCAACAGTCGTACAAACGCAGGCGGCTGCTGCTGTGCGACCTCTCACAAACCACCCCTCACCCCTGCAGGTATAACGTCTGCTCGTCCACACCTGCGCACCTCCATCACTAACAACAACAGAGCGCAGCAACTTGGACGCAAGCTAACGTAGAGACAAATTAATACCCTTTTCTGCTAATGTATCACATACCGTGACGTAGTAGTATAATACAATCCCCTCCCAGCCCAGGCTTCGCTCACTGTTACCCCTCGTCCAGCCACAGTGGCCGTCCCGCGCTATGCTCCCGAAACAAACCAATGTCAATGCCTGCCAGTAAACGCACATGGTATCAAGTAATGCAGTCCGCCCACGCCGAAAAGGAATAACAACAATGCCGGTTTCGCAGGTTGGCGGTTTTCGAGGCGGTCCAGCCGGCCTGGTGTGTGGTATCCGTCGTCGAGGGTGGTGACAGAGTCCTTCGATAGACAGACAGCCAGGAAGACTTCCCGCCTAGCCCACGCTGCACCAACATCCAGACAAGCCCGCCGTCAATCTTTCGCTCACATACTCATACAAAGCCTCCCTGTCCCGTCAGACCCCACAGCCCATCACGGCGCTGTGTCCGCCGGATACCACTCAAAAGGAATTCGTGACGTCGAGGCCGTAGGCGCAACCTTGTCCTAGAAAGCCGCCACCTCGGCCGTCTGCGCCTCCGGCATCCGCTGTGGTGTACCGTCGTCTTGCTCGACCTCTGCTCCTCCATCCTGCATGACGGCGTCCACTCCTTCGCGCGTCTCGAAGCCGCCGAGTGCTTGCGAGTGTAGCTTAAACGACTCGCCCATCAGCTTGGTGATTCTGCGAATTCATGTTAGTTCGAGAACAATGTGAGGTAGACGGAGAAATGCTCACCCCCATACGACGACCTCGTCGATCATGCTGCCCCACAATTTGGCAACCGTGCTACTCAGTTGTTGTCCGAAGCCATCGACAGACTCGTCGTCGAAAAGATTGCGGAGCTTCTGGTACAGCAGCTTCTCATCGTCTGTAGCAGGATCTGTGTCGTGCTCCACCCGCCACAGCCATAAGCTGAGAATGACGATCAGATCGAGACCACACAGAGGGTGCTCGATGCTCCAGTTTGTTGCAGACGTCCGAGCCACCCATCGAATACCTTGCAAAGCCGCAACCTCAATGCAGTCGTAACAAGCCTGGATGACGTTCAGCATTTCTTGGCTCCTGTTCACATTGTCTCGCGCCTTGAGCATCGCAGCAGCGACCTCATACGAGTCGTGATAGCGCAGTGCTTCCTGGACAGCTTTGAGATCCACAAGTAAGCGCGCACGGGTGTTGCGGTACATTGCCATTGCGTTGAAGATGAGTGGGTGTCCCTTGTGTGGTGCGCTGAGCTGTACGACAACGGTCTCCGGCTCGCACCTATCCAGCGAGCTTTCCCACGTGTCGAGGGCAAGCCGAAGCTTGTACTCAGTCACCACATCTTGCAGAGCCTCGGGGCTGCGCTTGTGGTACCAGACCTCCAGGAAGAGAGCGTTGATCATCACACGCGTGGCGAAAGCGCTGTACTGAGCGGGATCTCCTTGAAACAGCGAGTCGTGCGCTTCTCGGAATGTGACGACGGTGGATGCTGTCAGGCTCTCAATCCAGCTGTCGCTATCCGGTGCGTCGATATTCCACAATGACTCTGATGAGGGAAGCTCCAATGTGTCAAACTCATTGAAGCTGATCGCAGGAGTGTGGTTGTACGTGAGTGTGAGCAGGCCGAAGAAGATGTAGACGGCGTAGTATGTCCTGCGACATCCTTCATCTTCGACCCACTCCTCGTGTGTAGGTTGACGTCCTTCTCGTGCTTCTGTCCGTAGCTTCAACTCGTATCGGTTGCCGGCTACCATGTTGGCCAGCAGACTCTTAATCGAGCAAGCCCACTCCAAGCCTTTTGGATCACCACTCCAGCTCGCGAAGCTCATGTTCAGCAATGAGCTCTGCATCATCCATAGTGGACACTTGCGGGAGCTGAAGTTGTCCTTCTTCTGTAGGAACTGCGTAACAAGGACCTTGGACCCAATGTGAAGCATGTAAGCTTGGTCCTGCTCGAAAGTGTACAGTGCACCAATGGAGAGCACGGACAGCAGGAGGGGGGCCGAGACGGTCGCTGGTTCGAACGTGGCCGGATGGAGGAAGGGTAGGTGGTGATGGAAGAAGTTGAAGTAGGTCGACAGGTAACGGTTCAGGACCGACAGCTGCGGGAGACGGAAGGTCTCCACCAGTGCGCCTTCGCTGTCGCAGTGTCTGATGTTGTCCATGATGCGGCCGATGTGGTCTTCGCTCTCGACTTGAGGCGCCTTGGCCATGGTGCATTGCTGTGGAGGACCGGGTGATCTTCTGTAGTCGACCGGTGATACTGGGCCGACCATAGACGGGAAGGGCGAAAGTGCGCCAGGAGTGGCCAGTCCGTTGTTCATCAGCGAGGAGTTGAAGTGCGGCAGGCCGTCGGGTTGGCTCTCCTGCCTCTCCATCAAGGGTGGTAGGGTGTTTGGATTTGATGAGATGGAGCCGCCGCTGGGGTAGGGTAGCATGTCGTGAGAGGCATCCAGACTAGATGATACCGACGACGGCTTGGCTTGACTGACGTTCTGTGGCAGCATCTGATCCCAACCGTGCATCTGAGGCAGTGTCATCGATCCGGGATAGGGTAGCTGTGGTTCCATCAGTTGCGGACCATGAGGCGATATGAGTGGTTCCGCCGTGATGCTGCCTATGTCCTGACCCGACATGGCGGCTTTTTGCTGGAAGTTTGCCATCAACATGGCGGCCTGCTCGATGCCGAACGGGTTCTCGCCATCGTTGTACTGCTCCAACGCCGCCTCGTCCAGCTCGGGCATCTTCGAGGGGCCGCCATCTGGCGAGCCCTTGTTGCCGGTGTTGCGCCTCTTGGAGTCGCTCTGTAGTGGCACGCCGCCATCTTTCGCGTGGACGGTGCGGTCGTGTCGCAGGAGTAGGTCGCGACGGACGAAGGTGCTGCGGCACTTCTGGCACTTGAACGGGCGTTCTTTGGTGTCTGTTTGATGGAAACGTTGGTCAGCTCTCGGTGCCCCGCCAGCCCACTTTGCGACGGTCGCGTGGATGGAGCAGCTCAATCTGCCCCGCGACGACGTTTTGCGACGAAACCATCTTTCCACTTACGGGACCTCTCGTGTCTCGACCTGTGCTCCGACCTGCTGAAGGCCCGGTTGCAGAACTGGCACTTGTACCGCTTCTCCTTCTCCTTGTCTGGCGCCGACGCCTTGCGCACGCTGGTCGGCGACGCTGCCGTGGCGGACTGCTCTGCGCCTGCGACGGCGGACATGTCGGCGGGGGTGGGGGGGTCTACGCTGGCTGGTGGGGGTGGTGCTTGACGTGCACGCAGCCGGCGACGCCGCTGGGTTAATGGGTTCGGCGGGGTGAGGCTCGTATGGGACGGTGTGGCATGCTTCGAGTTGTGCTGCAGGCCGTTTGGGCGCTCGAGATGCCGACCCGGCGGGCTGCCAAGCTGGAAGTGAAAGGCTGGAGAAAGGCTATTCTGGTCCTTTCCTTCGAACACTTCACCAGCGAATATTCAATAACGATGGAAAACAATCCGCGTCAACAAGACATACGCAACGAGGAGGGGGGCAGAAGGTGGGGGATGCAAATCAAATCTTCTAGAAAGGAGGATGATGGCTCTCTCAGGAACGCCTCACGATTCATTTTGCTGTAGAAACTAGGCCTCTGCGCGGGCGGGGAGGTGCCGATGCGCTATCGCCCGGTCATCAACTATCATTAGCAGCACTTGCATACGCATACGCATACCTGCCTGTACCTGCGCGACCATGCCCACCTCTCGCCATCCATCCCTTCTCGCCGCTCAATTGGACGTGGCCACAAACCCGAGATGCAGCGAATTGGTGTCGACAGCAGAGCCTCCTCCGCAAACACTGGTTGGCCTTTCTTCCGCCCGACGTGTGACAGACGTGTGTGCCACACCAGTGAAACCACAAGGCCAGCCGCCTTCATCTACGCCATCTGTCCCGATCGCAACACATATTATATTCAAGATGTAGTATTGTCTAAATCGGTCAAGCCCTTCACTGACCGCTTGCATCGTCGACTCGGTCTTGCAGATGATGCATCACACCGCCACCTCTTCTGCGCCTCTTGATGCATTGCGGCGGCTTCTTCTTGCCGGCTGCAGTCGTTCAGTCGCTCGAGTCGAGAACACGATCCTTCACGACTCGCCCAGCCTCCCGTTTTCCTCTGATCAAAATGGCAACTGTGGTGGGTCGGCTGTCCTCGCTCGCTATATCTCCTACTTCACCTGAATCATCTCATCTCCTGAACGCATCCAATGCCCTCCCAGATCGCAACAACCAGCGTCATCCTGTCAACAAATGCACCGAAATGTTTCACTCATCATCCCAGTGATCGGACCCAGCGCCCTGTTCCTGGCCCTCGCGCATCTCTCCAACGTCTTAGAGCCTCGGGGAACGCCTTCCTACCTCTTAGCCCGAAAGGTTGCCCCACTGCCATGGAAGGTTCTCTGATGACAGAACGATGGGAGAAACGGTGAGAGGAGATTTTATTGCTGACGGCACTGGACGGAGACGACACTGCGATTCCAACTAACGGAGGACGGCACAACACAGCTCATTATGGTCACAACATGCTACGCACTTCTTATTCCTTTAGAGAGCTCACAAGGCAGGTGTGGCTTCGGCACTTTAATCTTTCCAAGCGCTCACGGACCGTCACTTTCTTTCGGGCTGCAGCGGGAGCTTGAAAGCAGTGTCTTTCCTGCCCCACCGGGGGCAGCAAATACTTGCTGATGATATATCCGCTTCGTGTGTTGATTTAGCAAAAGCTCCGGAGAGGCGCGACGCCCGCATACGACATGGGTGTCGCGCAGTACTCCTCTCATTCTGTCCTGTCGACCTCGCACTCCAGGTTGACAGTCAAGAACAGATGCAGGCGGCTTGTGAACTGACGTACAGTACCCTCACCCCTCCGATCGTCCGCCTGCGTCGAGGGGCAACAGGAACGGGTCTCACCCCTCCGTGCCGCATCACGCCTTCCCCTGAGCAGCGTGCGTCCAAGCGAAACGTCGACGTAGGGCCGAAGAAGTTCATCTCGGCATGAATCGCAGAGTTTCTAGCTCCTGACACCGTCGCTTCGGCACGCGGCAGCATTCCCGTTAGTGTTGGTGTGGGTTAGATCGACGGAATTGGCCACGCGAGCATCTGCTGGACCGGGATGTTGGATTTCTTGGTGATCGATTACTTTCTTCTCTTTGGATGTCGCGAGGTAAACATTGAAGAAGACGAGAGAGATTTCGTATGCGACGAGCAATGCGGTATCTTTGATCGCTGCAGCGCCTCTGTACCAAACAGTTAGACGGCCCTCAATACACGACCCGTGCTCGTTCCTAGAACGACGCAGGTAAGTCAAGGAGCATTCATTCTCTTTTCCTTCCTCTCTCCCACCCACGTTTCTCCTTGCTGCTCGTTCTGTCGCACTCCTCCTCCTCCTTGCTCCCCTCGACGAACGCATCGCTGCAACACCACCACGTTTCTGATGGCACTGCCTCTAAGGCGAAGCACTCCCACGCTTTCGCGTTGCTTTTGCTCATCCCACGTTTGCGCGGGCGGACTTCATCCTTCGATTTGACTTGATGCAACTGGAGGCGTGGAACACGATGAGCGGCGCTGGGAAGCACGGGTCTGCTTCGTCTTCATGTGAGCGTGGCAGGTAGACGGCGGAGTGAAGTCCGCAGTCTGCAGGAGCTGGCCAAGATGCGATACGTCGGCCACATCGCTCACTCGGAGGAAGAAGAGATGAAGCCATGCCGCTATTCGACTGCGACAGCAAGCCCAGGTAGCATGGCGGTTTGGAGGGCACGAGGATCGGTGTCTTGAGATCAAAGGGGAGGTGGATGATGACGGATGAATGGACTTGGGAGGAACAGATGAATTGCACGTTGAACGGGGGAGGTTAAGATTGGGTTCAATCGACGCCAGGATCACACATGCCATTGATTTGGCCTTCGAATGCGTCTCATGAAGTGTGTTAAGGGAGTTTTCCATCGAGCCCTGCAACTGTATGGTCATCTGGACCGGTGCCGTTGTTCCAGAGTTTGAATGACTCGAGGAGCAGCGTGTCCTCGAATGTGACCGTTGAACCTACTCCATCGAGTCGCCTTATGGGTGATCAACTGCAGTACATCTGTGGTTAGCCTCAGGTACAGCCATAGACGGGCTTAATATACATGTACTCTCCGTCACAACAATGTCGTCTAGCGAGATAATCCGGGACCAATAGGGTCCGCTCTCCGCTTGTTGCGATCCAGCTCAGCCTCCAGCCCACCAATCCCGCTCCTCAAAGGCCTTCTTCGATCACACTACCACCTCTGCCTGCCCTTCTGCATCCATTCTGTTGGCATCCGGCAGAGCGTATGCGGCGGTTCGGTCAGCACCGCTGCACTTGTGTGCCCGCAAAGGCATCCCGCTGCCCTTGAGAGGCTCCGGCGTGGGAGAGGACGGATCTGCCGCCAGCTCTGCCTGCTGCTGCTGCTGCTGCTGCAAGGGAGCTGATCCCCTGCTCTCCTCCACACTTCATTCCAGGAACATTTCGAGGACAAACCACCTTCTCCCGCAACGACACCGCCATCCAACACGTTCGTCCACGTCGCGTGCCTCAGGCTACAGCGGCGACGATACTGGAGCGATCCGAGTTGAGGAGTGCCCACCACTCCTCAACCGCGACGAGGGAGCACGACGATGAACGGGTATGGAGGTAGCGTCGCGCCGCCGAGCCAGCTCTACGTGCGCGCGCTCTACGACTACGACGCCGATGATCGCACCAGCTTGAGCTTCCGGCAGGGCGAGATCATACAGGTCATCACGCAATTAGAAAGTGGGTGGTGGGATGGAGTGCTGCATGGCATCAGAGGATGGTTCCCGAGCAACTACTGCGCCGTGGTGAGCCCGCCGTTTGAGGACGGACATGCGAGAACAGCTGGCGACTCGGAGGCGGAAGAGTCGGAAGAAGAGTACGGTGAGCATGGGCTGGATCATGGCATGAATGGCAATGGTGGCAGTCACAATACTACAGTGGACTCGCAAGAGGAGGCTTCATTTTGGATACCTCAAGCGACACCTGATGGACGGCTATACTACTTCAACACGCTCACCTACCAAAGCAAGATGGAACTGCCTCTGGAAGCGCCGACATCTTTGAACGAAACTGGCCCACGCGATCGCACCAACATCCACATTCCAGATCAGACGAGACCGCCGGCTGAGATCATGGCGGCCGGCTACGAGCGCGACGACGACACGGACTACGCTTCTGCTTCCGAGACCGAGGACATGTCGGGAATCCGCGACTCCAAGGGCTCGAGTGTAGGTGAAAGGTCTTTCAGGAGATTTGGCCTGTTGTTACACAAAGCTAACGCAAAGTTTGTTAGAACCGGCGCAGGCGATCGTACGTGTCCGACGGCGTGTCACCCGCCACCTCCATGGATTCTCTCAACGCTGCTTCTCCGCTGAACCGCTCGCGCACTAATCTGGCTGGAGCCAGTCAAACCTCGATTTCGGCCATGCAGCAAGGCATCCCGCCGATTGGTACCACTATGAACTCCTTCGCCAATGCTGCGGCTGCAGCATCCACCTCCTCCCTCGTACCCCGCCGCTTCTTTGAAGACGCACACGCTGTCCCGCTAACATGGCACACCTTGACCGAGGACATGCGGCGGGCCATTCAGCGTTACCGCGACGTCATCAATGCTGGCGAGAGGTCCGAGTTCGTCCGGAAGGCAGAAGATATCTCCGATCACCTGCGTCTACTCCTGGCAGCTGGATCTGGTACCACCGACAACCATTCTGGAAACCCTTCCATCATCTCAACGAACAAGGCTCTCTATCCTCACTTCCGCGAAATGATGTCTAGATTCTCCAAGCTTGTTCTCTCTTCTCACATTGCTGCTGCGGACTGGCCAGCCGCCGATGCCTACCAAAAGTGTCTTCAGGAAGCGGAAGGCGTAATGCATGGCGTCTATGGCTTCGTGGAGGTCGCGCGACAGCACAAAGGCGAGGAGATACCAAGAATAACTCCTGGCTTCGTCAGTGGTAGCAAGGTTGCAGCAAACTGGCAGAACAACGGGCTCAACCCGAAGGATCCAATGGCGACCATGTCCTTCATGGAAGACGACCAGGATTTTCTCCAGGATCCGACAGCATCACTCGATCTCGCAATAATGGAGCGTATGGATGATCTCAAGCGACTGATCAGCTCCAGTATTCGCAAACTGGACGAGCACCTCATACTGAGAGACAAGCTCATCACTCCCCAGCGACACCGACGGATTGGAGATGCCGTGTGCAGGTCTGGACATCAGGTCATTGAGTACTGTCGACCTTACATGTCCACCATCGAATCCATCAACCTCGCGCCCCTGGGCTCAACATTCCAGACTCCTCAGCTGAATGACTTTGCAGAACACAAGCAGAAATTGTACGACTCGACATCTGATCTGATTGTAGCCTGCCAATCTGTTGCGAGTCCACTTGGTGACGAGTGGTCTGAGGTTAGAGCGCCATCGCTGGAAGAGCGTGTTCAGCGCGTAAAAGCCATCAGTCGCGAGCTGGACACAGCGGCTCAGCAAATATTCTTCTCACTACAACTGCTATCGGAACTCATCCCTCACGATGACCGCCTTTCACCTCCCAAGGACGGCCACAGACTGACCGATGGCGGTGCTTCATACGCCCCACATGTCCGATCGAATTCGAGAGAAATGCGACCCACTATGCTCGCAGATGTTGGTCAATCGAAGTCGTACTCGGAGGGTACCGATCCTTCTGCTGCCATCCAAGGGAACGGGGAGAATTCGAAAGTTAAGCGCTTTTTCGGAGAAGTCCCGGCTCCTCCCATGCCACACCGCGAGTCGGAAGAGATGCCAGAATACCTCAAGCTGGACCATGAAGGCGAGATTGCCTACGACACCAAGGTCGATCCGCCGCTGCTGCGTGGCGGCACTTTGAACGGATTGGTGGAGCAACTAACGCGACATGACAAGTTGGACGCCTCGTTCAACAACACGTTCTTGCTCACCTATCGTTCGTTTACCACAGCACCTGAGCTGTTCGAGATGCTTGTGAAACGATGGATGCTCCAGCCGCCGAATGGTCTTAACGCGGCAGACATGCAGGTCTGGACCGACAAGAAGCAGAAGCCAATTCGCTTCAGGGTGGTCAATATCCTGAAGTCTTGGTTCGACAACTACTGGATGGAACCTCAGGATGAGACAAGTCAGCAATTGATCCAGAGGGTCTACCAGTTTGCGAAAGACACTGTCGCGTCAACCTCGACACCAGGAGCTGGGCCTTTATTGACTGCTGTGGACCAGCGCATCAGAGGTCAAGACGTACCCAGCAAAAAGATGACTTTGACACTTAACTCCCAGCAGTTCCCGACTCCAGTCCTTCCGAAGAACATGAAGAAGCTCAAGTTCCTGGACATCGACGCCCTTGAGTTCGCGCGCCAGCTCACCATCATCGAGGCAAGACTCTACAGCAAGATCAAGCCGACCGAGTGTCTCAATAAGACCTGGCAGAAGAAGTTGAAGGAGGGGGATCCCGATCCGGCAGAAAACGTCAAGGCCCTCATCCTGCACTCCAACCAGCTCACCAACTGGGTCGCTCAGATGATCCTCACCCAGCAAGACGTCAAGCGCCGTGTGGTGGTCATCAAACACTTCGTCCTCATCGCCGACAAATGCCGCACCCTCAACAACTTCTCCTGCCTCACCTCCATCATCTCCGCCCTCGGCTCAGCGCCCATCCATCGCCTCAACAGGACCTGGGCCCAAGTCAACGCCCGCACGACTCAGACCCTCGAATCCATGCGCAAGCTCATGGGCAGCACGAAAAACTTCACCGAGTACCGCGACGCCCTGCAAAAGGCCATGCCACCCTGCATCCCCTTTTTCGGCATCTATCTGACGGACCTGACGTTCATCGAAGATGGCATCCCGTCAGTGATTAAGAAGACGCAGCTCATCAACTTTGCAAAGCGCATGAAGACGGCGGAGGTCATCCGGGATATCCAGCAGTACCAGAACGTGCCGTACGGCTTGGCGGCGGTGAACGAGCTGCAAGAGTACATTCTGCGCAACATGCGCAGTGCGGGAGACGTGCACGAGATGTACGAGCGCAGTTTGCAGGTCGAGCCGCGCGAGCGGGAGGATGAGAAGATTGCGAGGTGAGTGTTTGCTATCACTTGCGTGATTGACGTGTGTCTTCGGACTGACTGGTTGCTTGTGGGTAGGCTGCTCTCCGAGTCTGGATTTCTGTAGTCCAGCCGGGCTGTTGCGAGGCGAGTCTTTTGATCTTTCCATCATGCTTGACGAGCTCGAGCAGTGTTGTGCGGGTCTAGACGCAAATTGGGAGCAAGTGCGTGCGATGAACGCAAAAGGAAGTGAAAAGACGATACGAACGTGACGACGACGAGTGGAGACGGAAAGACCTCTCTGCTTTGGAATCTGCGAATGTTGCTCTGTAGCACTGCGACGTGTGTCCGGCGTTTCCATCACCTATTGGGGGAGGCTTTGAGTGGGCTGGCTCACAGGCGGCGCAGAAAGAAAGGCCACGGGAAGGGGAACGGATATTGTTATTACGGAACTTTTGGGAAACGGCTATCCATCACGACGACGAGCTCGTGCTTGAGCGACAATGTGGTGTATCTTGCTGATCGTACTGGCTATTGATACCCAATGAGTCATTCTTCGCTGCAGTGATGACTTCTCCAAAGTTCTCCTCCTTGCGTATTGCTGTTCGTATGCACAATGTGCATGAAAAGTCAGCGAGCCACCCTGATGCAGTATCAAGGTTATCGAACGTGTTGGTTTCGGCCGTGACCTATCTACTACACGTACTCAGACAGCAAAGTCCGCAAACAAGGCCGTTATTTATCTACTCAAACAACAAAGCATCCACAACAGCGAGTGATCGTATCCTCTGTGAACGCCGCATCGCCTGCCCAAGCTGCTGGACTCCCCTGTATCATGTCGCTGTAGTCAAAAGGCATTCTGCCGTTGAACCTCCCCCTCCTCCGCTCAATCAAAGTACCCTCCGCCTCCCCTATACCGACTATGCTGCTCATACCCGACATCCCGTCGTCGATACTCCGGCACAAACTCCCGCTCTCTGTCCCGTCGGTCGTAGTCGCGCTCCCTGTCTCGCCTGTCGTAGTCCCGAAGACGATCTCGCTCCTGGAAATCATACTCATCCCCACGCTCCGTCAAGCGTCGACGGAGCGGAGCCTCTGGTGCCCGGACGGGAACGTACTCCACGGCTCGGCTGGGGGGATAGTCATCGGGATGGCCTGGATGGTACGTGATGGAACGCTGGATTTGACGTCGTGGTGGTCGGCGATCGCGGTCGCGGTCGCGGTCGTCGATGCGCTGGTGCGTGTACGCCGGCTCGATGTCCGCATCTTGGAAGGCCTTGGAGCGGTACTTGGGTCGTGCTCCGCTGCTCTTGCGGCGCTCGAGGCTGGGACGCTGGCGCCGGTCGGAGAAATGGCTGTGGTACTCCGAAGGCGGTGTGTAGGAGCGAGAAGGCGAAGCGCCACGAGACCAGCCGGAGCGACCGTCATATTGACTTTCGCTGGAGTCGTCGTCGCGCAGCTGGGCGCTTTCCAGTCTCGCGGCTAGCTCCTCGAATTTGTCTTCGAACTTGTCCCCCAGTTTGTCGACAATCTTCTCCATCTGCCGCTCGCTCACGCGGCGCGCCGATTTCGGTCGCTCCTGGCTGTGTGCGCGGGCGCCGGCCGAGTGGTGGCGCTGGTGGTGGTTGTGTTGAGGGTGTATCCATTCCTGACCGGGCATGAAGGGAGAGTCAATGTTCACCGGCATGTGTACGTTCGGCAACGGCGTGAAAGGGTTGCCGTTGATGTCGTGCGTGGGCTGTCGAGGACTGGCTTGGAACGGCTGCTGCATGATCGGCGGCTGCATCTGGCTGGGATGGATCGGTGGAGGCATCTGCTGGTTTCTGAAGTCTTGTTGCTGATCGAAAACCTGCGGGTAGTCGTTGAACTGCTGCTGGTTCAGGTGGTGGTGGTTGTTGTGGTTCTGTGGCAATGGCTCGATATCATCAAGATCCATGCCCAGTCCGAAGATTGGATCGACCAACTCGCGCTGCTGGTCCTGCTTCTTCTGCTTCTTCGTGCCACCCTTGTTCTTACCATTGGAATTGTTCTTGTTCTTGTTGGGAACATCGTATACTTCAACGATATCATCGAAGTCGTCCTGATAGTACTGCTGTTCGTTGTTCGACCTGTCCTTACCGTTCTTCATTGTCTTGGTCGTGGTCGTTGTTGTGGTGGTCGTCGCGAGAGCCTTTCGGCCATCGAAATCTGTCCGTTTGAGAATGACTTGCAGGCCTACGACTTCTGGAGGGCTAAACAGTGTACCCTTGCCCCATTTACGGTCGATGTCGTGATAGATCCATGTAGCATTGCGGTCCAGCTCCTCGCTTCTCCGTTCTTCGCACAGGCGAGTGACGGCCGCTCGTTGACTGTTTGATAGCGACAACAGCTGAGAGGATGGGTTGCCCTTAGTCCTCTGCTGGTGATCCGAGGCCATTTTCATAATGGCCTCCTCTGAAAGAAACAACGAGTCTTTTTTGTAAGTGGACCAACTTGAAATCTTGCTTAGATCGTGTCTCCCGCCAGCGCCTCTGGACTTCCCTCCCAGCTTTCCTTCAGGTAGCCCTTCCGGCCTTCCTCTCGACAGAAGGTAAGCCTCATACCTGACAGCGACCGGCTTCCGATACGAATTGTAGTTCGAATCGCCATTCTTGTTGTTGTTCTTGCCGCCAGAATTCTTGTTCTTCTTCGGCGGATTGTCGAACTGCATCATGTCGCTGTCGTCGTCCCACTGCATATCGGGCAACGGGGCCATGATGGCGTCGTCGAACGGACCCGTAAGGAAGTCTTCCGGTGGCGGTACTTGGTTCTTCGGCATAACGGTTGCACCATTCAAGCTTCTGTACCTGAGTCCAGATCACTTTCGGCTTATGCAGTGCCTGGTCTTGATGGGTAGAACGATCTTCCGTCTTGTCCAAGAGTAGAGTGGAACAGAGCACAGCAGGGACAATCGAAGTATCAGAATCGGAACAAGGAAAGCAAGAAAAGAAGGAGGCGGGGATGAGCTCTTTCAATCAAACCTGCAGTGACTCCTCCATGCCACACCCGAAGTGTGCTGGACTATAGTTGCCTTGTGTAACCCGTCCAAGAGCATCCAGATGCCTACACCACGTCAGGCAGGTCCCGGTGAACAGACAACCCGCATGCCATACCGCCGCAATGAAGCGGCAGTCTTCACCACGATAACTCTCGACCAGTGACTCGCAACTCCACACTCACTGTCATTGGACGCTCCATCGTAGATCCGGATGACTGCAGGATACAAACCCATTGTACCGTTGCCCGGCTGCAGCACGGCTGCCTTCGCGGTTCGCAGCGCGGGTCAGATGACGCCTCGCCGCACGCTCAAACGAGAGCGTCAACGCGGTCTAGCGACGACGGGGCGAAGCTCGACCGACCATCAACGCTGCATGTGTAGAGAAGTCCAGTGTCATTGCCGAGCTCGAGATACCGATCCGGCCAATGGAACAAGGCTGTGCACGCTTCACCGGAGGATAGCGACAGCGCTGATCACGCTGGCGGCCGGCCTGGTGCTGTGGAACAACGGTAAAGCAGGCTTTGGATGTCTCAGGGTCAAGCGGTGGTGCTTTGCATGAAGGATCGCTCGCGGTGACAGTTCGCGAGCTTCGTGTACTCGACCTTCTTAAGCGCTGCGCTTGGAAGAGAAGGAACGTCTGAAGTCCCATCAAGCTCTCCGATCCGCTCCAGGCATTAATGCCAACCGAAGCGCTGCGCAGGTCAACCGTGGACACTGATGGCCCTCTCTAATGCAATCGCTGCATCGTCTGGTATCCTATTCTTCGCGAGACGGATCGTGGGCGCGCGACCTGGGAGCTCTCCGTTAGGGCGCAGCGTGCAGGACGATGCAGTAGGATGGGCAAGAGCTTGGTGAGTGGTCGGATGCAGCTCCAGTGGGGTTTGCTGGTGGCCTGGCGGGCTGCATGGGGGCTGCCAGCGCATACGACGCGCAGCCGAGCAAGAGCGTGAGCGATACGACAACTGATCGGGCGGCGAATGGGATGTGAAAGGGCGATATGGTGTGAGTGTGTGTGGACAGCAGGTGGTATGGGAATGATGGGTGTCTGCCACAAGAGATGAGGTGCGGTTCCGCTTCTGCCAAGACGATATCTGGAAGACAATGCGGCGAACGACAGCACATTTTCGTGGCCAGAAACCGGTGACGAGATGGAGAGAGGCCAGATGCTTTGAATTCTCTTGTTTCATTCCTTCATCCACCTATGCTACTTCGTGCTCTCCTCCTCCACTCTCGGAACAACAAACAATAGGTACACCCTTCCCACAGGCCGACCACCAAAGCCATACCGTCAAAACATTACCACCCTCTCCCTCGCAGGAGTTCGATGAGAAGTGTAGTTGCGAACACCGGTGCCCGCCCGTGCCTGAACCCTTCATGTATGTATATCCCCATCCCGTCCGTATACCGCCGTGAGCGAGCGAAGCGTGGCCTGGACGCGTTCCATTACCAGACCACCCAGAAACACCGAATAAACACCTTGCCGTCCCAAGAAAGCGCCCAGATCATCCCGCCAAAGGAATATGCGTAATCGCGTGCCACTCAACAAAGCGGCTTCTTGACATCTTGCACACCCCTCTTCAGCACGTCCTCCAGCTTCCACCGCGGTGGATCCACGGCTGGCTCACCGCCCGCTTCGAGACAGCTGCGCATCTCGTTCACGCCTTCGTTCGTCAGACCATCGTGCACCGGCTCCTGTCCGCCTGCGATGCCGGAGCTGAACTTCAGCTGCAGAATGTCGCCAGCTTGATCGCACGCCGCGAGCATACGGTCAAGGTCGTCTTTCGTGTGTGCGGCGCTGACGCAGAAACGTGCGCGCGAGGAGATGAGCGGTGTGGCGGGGTATCCGACAACGACGACAGCGATCTTGCGCTTCAGCATTTCGTGCGAGAAGGCAGGAATCTTGGCCGGGTGGTAGAGGAGGAGCGGAATGATGGGCGAGTCGTCGTGGCCGTAGACGATGAAGCCGAGGCGCTTGAGACCAAGACGCAGGTATCGGGAGTTGAACGCCAGACGCTGGAGACGCTCTTCGCCCTGTCCATTGCAGATCTCGCCGTTGATGATCTTTAGTGAGGTTTGGATTTGCGTGAGGACGGCTGGAGTGGGTGTCTCGCCAAAGATGGTGCCAGCGTTCGTGACGCGGATCTTGTCGATGAATGCCCTGGGGCCTGCGACGTAGCCACCGTTCGCACCGAAAGACTTGGTGAAGGTGCCCATGAGGATGTCGATTTCGCTGGTGGGAATACCGAAATAGTCACACACGCCGCGTCCACGTGGGCCCAGCGCGCCGATGGAGTGGGCCTCGTCGACGTACAGAGCGAACTGGTACTTCTTCTTGAGCGCCACCAGTCCTGGGAGGTTGACCATAGTGCCTTCCATACTGTACAGGCCCTCCACTGCAACCAGGATCTTCCTCCAGGGTCGATGTGTCCGGGGCTGGCCTTGCGAGATGCGCTCGCGGAGGAGACGTTCGAGGTCGGCCATGTCATTGTGCTTGAACATGTCGATGACAGCGCCTGACAAACGCGCACCAAAGCGGATCGAAGAGTGGTTCAGCTGGTCCGAGATCATGAGACAGCCCTTGCCAACCAAAGCAGTGAAGGTGGTCGCATTGGTGACAAAACCCATGCTGTGGATGGTGGCCGCCTCCTTGCCCACGAACTCTGCAACCTGCTGCTCGACCGCAGTGTGCAGGTCGCTCGTACCAATGTCTCCTCTCGGCGAGCAGAAGGAGATGCCGTACTTCTTGATGCTTTTCTCCGCATCGTCCGCGCATTCACCCTCCGACTGCGCGAAGCCGAGATAATTGTACGAAGACATATTCAGCGTCTCCGTGGTCGTGCCCTTCAGCTTGAAGCTCAAGTTGAAGTCGTCGCTCTCCCGGTCCAGCAGCGTAATGAAACGCCCCGGCACACCCGTCACCGGCCTCCGGAAGCAGTCATTGATCCTCAGCTGCAATCTCCGGATGTAGAAGTTATCAAAATCGCTGTTCAATGGCGCATATCCATCTCTTTCTTGCAAGTACTTGTACGACTCCTGCTTGAAGCGCTTTCCGAAGAAGTCCCGTACGTGGCCGAAGATGATGAGGATGAGGTAGGAGATGTAGGTGGTGATGAGGTAGAAGTAGGGTGGTTCGTCCGCGATTGGCTCTGGGAACTCGGTGCCGACGAAGCGGGAGGAGTAGAGGTGTTGTTTGGACCCCAGAGGACCGAACGCCGCGTGCGCTTTCGCTGTCCGCTTTACCTCTGCAGGGCTCGGTGGGGCGAAGAGAGTCAGTGGCTTGGACATCTCTTCCATCTTACTCTTTTCGCCAGTCGCTGTGGTGAGATTGATGGTCGGGAGGCTGAGAGTTGGTATCTGTGGCGAAGGTGGTCGAAAGGAGGTGGGTGGTTGCGATGGTGGTTCGAGTCGTCCTGTCGGCTCTGACGATGGCCGTGTGGGTGTCTTGGGCGAGCCAGAGAACGGTATGCTGAATCGCGGACGGAACTTTGCTCGGTTTCGCTCTCGTACTTCGCGCGACTCGATGCGAATGGGCTCCTTCTCGGACAGGACCTCGGTGGTGGTAGTGGTGGAGGAGGGCGAGGAGGAGATGAAGGGGTTGAGCGTGCGGAGAGGCATGGTTCTGATGGTGTCGAAGAATTACTATTAGTCTCTGCTCGGTACTATTGTATCGCGCTGCTTGAGAATGGTGCCGCCCTTGGATGCGCCGGATGGAAGGTGTGGCGCAGATCAGATGTTGTTGTTGTAGGAGTGCAGCAAGGAGCGTCGCATGCGGTGATGTGTGGTAGGGAACGTGGTGCTCACGCGTGGAGTGGCGAGCGAGCAGTGGAAAGGAAGGTGCTGAGGGAGGAAGTCGCGAGGGAAGGAGCGAAGGTCGCCGCCGGCTCAGGCTGACACAATCTTCCGGACACTTCCGTCCCCGACACCGACGCTGCAAGGTACTCTCGGTGCGACAAACAAATCGTCTCGGCAGTGATGGAGTATCTCCAGCCTCCAGCCTCGCAGACTTTGTACTTCGTCGCTTCCAATGCAATACCCGGGGCGCAGCTGGAAAGAACACGGCTGCCTGCTGGAAAGAGCGACGCAATGCCGCTTGGCATACACAATTCTCTTACCTCGATGCTTTTACGCCCGCATTGCTCGCCGCCTGCCTATTCGCCTTTCGTCGCTGTCGTCGCTTCGTGGTGATGGAAAGGAGTGTGTGGTGTGAAGGAGTGTGCGGAGTTGGTGCGTGTGCGAAGTCGAGTGTGCTGAAAGGAAGAAAAAGGTAATCTGGTAAAATCGCAGCAATTTCCGAACTCCCGGTCGTGACCACAAGGACTGGCCTGCTTACGACCGTTGCTTCGCTTACTCCTTCGACCGTTTCACGTCGCCTAGTAGAGCTGCATGCTTATCTCGCATCTTTAGAGTGAACGCGAGCTCGTGGTCAAGACGTGATCCCCACGCGTTGGGAGCATATCGGCACCAAGAGCACACCAGTCACACACATCAGGCACGAGTACGACGCAGATCAATGCAAATGGATACTTCGCTTAGGGAAGTAGAACACGAGCGGGCATCTGAAGAGCAGTAATCTTGTCGATCTGGTCTGGCCATGTCAGGCCTGCTGGCCAAACACTCCGTTGTACACCATAGACTTCCAAGACTATGAGCGAGCCACGTGCAGGCGCCCGATACCATCTCACAGCATTCTCTCACTGCTCAGACGTACTAGCCGGCGTCGATGGCGTCCTGTCACCATCCTGATAAACAGGCAGTCCTCCTTCCCTCCCTAACCTCACATACCCATTCTCCACCCTGAATCTTCTCTGTCCCCTTTCCGGATCCGGTGTCGCAAACATCTTAATAGCCTCAGGAAGCCTCAAGACAGCGACATACACATGTATAGCACTAGCAGACAATCAGCACCGAGAATAAAACAGGTAAGACGAAGTCCTACTCACCAATTCACCATGACCCACACACTCCCATACGTCCCCAACATCACCTGGGGCCCATCATACCGATTCTTCGGCACCTCGACCCAACAGCACACACACATCACAAACAACCACACCCCCAGCGCGAAATCCAGCACCGCCACATGGCCTTCCGCGAGCGTGATCGAGCTGCCTCCTGCCGTCACAGCGTTTGGGTTGAGGAGGTAGAGGGCCAGCAGGGCGGAGATGGCGAGCGGGATGAGCGCGAGGGCGGGGAAGGAGCCGCCGCGCAAAATACCGTGGAGCAAGAGCATGATGAAGGCTGGGGGGAAGGTGATGAGGTTTATGAGGCGGAGGGTGCGTTGGGCCGTGGCCGGGGGTTGGGTTGGTTGGGGTGGCATGGTTGTGGTGGTGGTGGTGCTGCTGCTGCTGCTGCTTGTAGACGGGACTCTTCGAGTGTTCGAGTCGATAGACGTTTGTTGTAATGTATACAGGTTGCCTCGATTGCTCCTACAGTCGCCTTGTCGTTGCCTGGTCGAGGTCGCCCGATGCCGATGCCGTGATGCAGCGGGTGCTTTCTAGGGTGAGTAGATCCTAGGAACCGTCGCCTCTCATTCAATCGCAAATGTGAAAAGTAGTATTCTTTGCTCAACAGAGGGGTAGTGATACATGTACATGTACATGTACCTTCAGGCAGAAACTATGTACTGCGCCACATCCGGCGGCAATCCAAAGTTCAAAGGATCAAACGCTGCGCTCTCCAAGAGAGGAAGGAGCCACCGTGACTATTTATGGCGGCTAGCACAGCAGGACTACCAGGTACACCATGCCTGCAGCGCAGTCACGCAAGGCAGCAGGTAAATGAAGTCTGCGGCTCTACCCTCTTTGGCTGGCAGCCTTCCGCGGTATACGGGAGCGTTGAACGGGAGGTGGAAGATATCGAAGGCCAGCCCTTTCCAATATCTGTCGCATGCAGTTCAAGAACTTTGTGACTAGATGTTACATGGCCAACGCTCCAAAGGCCCCGTCCATCGCAATGCGAACGCAATGTACACTTTTCCAGCTCTCCATCCACTCCATCCACTCTGCCCATCCTCACCTCCAAGCTCTCTCTCTCTCTCTCTCCACCTCGCTCCTCGCCTGATCCACCACCCTCGCGCTGTAGCAATTGTCCTAGGCAGCCCGACTCTTCGGCCTCCCACTCCCCACCCTCCGCGCCTCTGGCCTCTTCAAATGGCTCTCCGGGATCCAGCTCTCATCGTAAGCCTTCGCGCCCGTCGTGACCGCCGGCCCATCAGCGCCCACCACGCTCGTCTGGTCCGCCGGATCCACCTTCTTGCTCCCGCCGCTCGACCGCTTAGCCCGCTCGCCGCCCTTGCCGCCACGGCGCTTCTGCGGGAAGAGCGTCGTGATCCAGGTGTTGTAGATGAAGAAGCAGGTGCCGCCGAATGCGGCTGCGAGGAAGAGGTAGAGGAAGATGCTGCCATCTCACATTAGCTGCTGCCAATTAATTCGAGGTCGTAGGGGTTGTAGAACTCACATCTGCGGGTCAAATATACTCATCGGCGCCTCCACCACACTGACCGTCTCGTTGAAGACCACCTTTGTAAACACCGCGCCCTCAGTTTGTTGCAAGACCGCCGCAATGTTCAACCGCAGGTCCTGCGGGTGCAGCTCCGTCGAGAAGCTGTATGTCACGCTCTCGCTCTCTCCCGCTGGGATAAGCACCCCATACCGCTGCGCTGTCAAGTTCCTCACGATCTGCGGCTCTTCAGGCGCCCCTGGGGTATCCAAGGGCGTAGTGAGGGTCCCGCCCACGACTTGCAGTGTGATGGGCGCTGGCTCCTTGTTCGTGATATCGAGCACGGCCTGGGTCGGGTGGCCGTTGACGAGCTTGACGCCAAATATCTCGGACTGTGGGAAGGAGGTGCGGATCTCGACGGCGAGGGCGGGAGTCTGCTGTCTCGATTCATCGGAGGGGATCTCTTCCATGTCCTCGATCTGGGTGAAGATGTTAGTTGATCAGTGTATACGGGGTATTGCTGGCTTTTTGTATTGCAGTACCTCAATCCCCGGGGGCAGGTCGATTTGAGCTTGCACTGCTCGCGATGCCGCGAGGGCAATCGCTGCTAGCTTGAACGAGACCATATCTGCGGTGTGAAGAGTTCAATGGGTGAGTGTTTGGGATGACGATTTGCGAAGCCAGCTGTTCTCCAAAACTTTGGGCGGAGATGGCTGATCGTGGTGTCGTGTCGTAAATGGCTATTTTCAACTTCAACTTCATAACCATACTATTACACCACACCCCTTACCGCTCTTCTCATTTGTAAGCCTCTTCTACGCTATTAGAGCCCTGCTAACTAGCATATAGCTCGCCGGCTCGCTAGCTAGCTCGCTCTAGACTAGACGACCGGACGAAAATTAGCTCGCTAGCTTACCGGCTCTAGACTAGACAAACGGACGAAAACTAGCTCGCCGGCTAGCTCGCTAATAATGCCTCGTGTTGCTATTAATCTTAAGCCTTACAAGGCTACTATTAAGGAGTAGCGGTATAGTAGTACTAGTCGAGGGCTTATACTAGAACGCCTTACCACTAAGTATAATATTGTTATTAGCCTTAGGCTCCTTAAGAGGCACCTATTACGGTAGGATATCCGTACTAACTAGCTCGTAATTAATAGACAAGACTCCGTACTAATACGAGCTAAGGTCTACCGCTACTATTACCGGCTATAACTCTTAGACAAGCGGATTTTACGGATACTAAAGCTCGATGGGTTTAACGTATCTACCTAGACGGTTTACCGTCTCTAGAAGAATATAGGCCTCGTTAAGCGGCTCGTAGCCGCCTAGTACGAAGCTATAGAGGAGGAGCTCCGTTAGGCCCTATAGAGAGAGCTTAATACTAGCTTTATAGAGGACTTCGGCCGCCGCTACCTCTTTAACTATATAAGGAAGTACTATAACAATATTATAAACGCGTAAGTACCTCTAGAGGAGTAGACGGTCTTACGAGCTAGTAGCGAGACTACCGAGAGTACGAATTTAGCTCTCTCTCTAATTTACTAGCTTACTCCCGAGCCTTCTAAGCCCTTTACTAATTATTAACTCGTAGTAAGCGCCTCTACTAGCTCGTAAGGGAGCTTAACCTAGAGGGTATAAGGGCTTATAAGCTCCGTCGTTACCGTCGTAGTTACGGTTATCTACGGATACCTAGTCTAAACTATACGTAGTCTATTAATAGCTACTACAAGCTAGATTACTACGGCATTAAGGTATATACTACTATTAACTACTACTCGCGATATATTATCTAGGTCTACGTAGGCCTCTCGGTATATACTATAATATCCGTAGTAGCTTAATATCTCCGGTAGCTTAACGAGGGTAGTATAATACCCCTTATTATTAGCTCTAACTACGGCGGTAAGATACTAATCCTTACTAATATTTACGCCTTTCTATACGACTTACTTTACGAACGAGCCGACGGCGAGCTACTACGATTCCGCGATATATATCGATATAGGACTAGTAAATTTAACTAGCGGATTAAGGTATTCTAGTCTTAACTTACGAAGTCGTATATCCGGCGCTAGCGAGACTACTTACAAGAGCCCTATAAGCTAGACGAATACGATAAGGACCTTCTACCTAATCGACTAGCTTACCTTATAGTCTATATACTAATCCTCCGCCGTACGATTAATAACTTCGTTAAGATATAGAACGAGTACTTAATCCGTCTATAAGGTAATAGTATAGTTACTAGTATACCGGAGCTACTTTATCTATATCCGGAAGACGAGGGGGTAGAGGACTATAGTATTAATATTCCGAAGGAGTACTTAACGTCGTTTAAAGTAGACTTAAGTAGCTTTAGTTCGTTGGCTCGCTAATAGCTACGTAGATATAGAGGAATATCTACTACGTTAGACGCTTAATTGGTATAGCTAGTAGCTTATCGAGCTTGGTTACGAGCTAGTATAGAGCGGAGCCCTTTCGGATAACGATAGGCTAAAGCAATACCGCGCTACTTATCTATAGCTCCGCGACCGGATTAAGATTTACCTTATAAGTAGTAGCGAGCCGTAGCTATAGGAGTCGGTAAAGCCGCTTCTAGCTACTTAGGAGCTATCTCCTTATATCCGATAGGTCTTTGCTAACGCTAGCGTGTAGCTAATCGGTCGTTAGTATAGCTATATTAAAGCTAGAAGGTACTTTCGATATTCTAAGGTACGGTATAAGGAGAGGATACTACGAGCCGACCTACGAGCTAGTATTAAGCCGATTTTTTCTCAAGCAACTATAAGTTAAGCTATCCTATATCGGTTAGAAAGAGGGGACTTATATAGTAGCGTCCTATAGCTACTATAAGCGCTCGTAGCCGGCTAGACGTAGCTCGTAGCGTACTCGTAGTCCTTAATTTACTAGTACTACCTCGTCTCCTCTCGATTTATTACTTTCGTCTTATCTTCTCCCTTCTATACTTCCTTCTTAACTACTTCCTATTATGTCGTTACGCTCTATATAGACGCTATACTATATAGAAGATACTTATCGTTACGATAACTACCTAACTACTTATTACTACGGCCTCTACGGCGGTATTAACCCCGATCCTATATACTAGTATAAGCTAGAAGCTACGAGCTAGACGACTACTACTACGAGCTAGCCGGCTATAGTATAGCCGCGGTTTGTTACTACTACCCCTCCGGCGTATACGATACTACTATTAATAGCTATAAGCGAGCCGGTTCGCGAGCCTACTATTATACCTCCTCTAGCCTTTAAGGCGTCGTCTATCCTCGTAGGCCTTCTATCTATCGCCGAGTC